GACTAAAACATATATAAAATATCATTGTCAATTAAATATATTATTTTGCGAAATAATATTATTTATGCAAATGCAATTACTGATTAAAATTTTTCTAGATAACAGACTGTAGTCAATAGTCCTTAGTGTTCAACATCATTTGCCGGCCAATGAAATTGTTTCATTAAAAATGCTTTTCCTAATCGTAGATAGGCAAATTTGTTCCCTTATTTATAAAGTTGAACGCTTAACAAAATTCGAAGTGAGAACTAGGTCAACGTGTCTTCAAACAATGTGGTTATACATGGAGGAAACATTGACAAACCCAATTAAATATTTTGGTCATTTTGAACGAACATGTATCATTTAAACACAGGCGCATGAAGGGTAAAGCTTAACTTCTCTGATAGATGAAATGTGCTCCTTAAACTCCACTCATTGTATTGTAAACACTTTTCTATAGGCTGGGGGTGTTCCAGGTCGGTCAAATGATGTTCAACACAAAGCAAGTTAGTTTTTTTTAAGGTCCATTATGCCTGAGCAATCATTTCTCTTTTTTTGTTGGTATCTTGTAATAGTTCCAGAGTAATACTAATACAATAACTGTCTTTTGCTCCTTTAGCTCTGTTAGCAATGTATATAATAATAGTGAATTAGTATTGTGTATGGAAGTCAAAATAGTTCTTTAAAATTATTTACATTTTGCTTCCTTTACAACACATTCAGGCACATTCAACGCTACTTTCGACATCGAATATGCTCTCAATCTATTATCTAAACATTATTAAGCATATGTTTGACATTTCTAAAGATTTTTTTTTTTAAATATGGATTTCTGAGGCATAATGTGCCTTTAATGAACATTTTAACAATCAGGAACCGACGGTCGCTCCCTACTTGTTGCATCCTTTTAGGGTCTAAAATTTCATTTAATAAACACTAACATATACTTAATGTCAGTCAATCTGTACATTATGATAAGATTTTGATGACTAAGTACACAGAAGGTGGTTGCAGTTTTTATCCGACGGTGTCAGGAATATTGTCTATTCATAGCTCTGATGATGTTGACAAGGATTTAAAAACAAAGAGAGAAAAGCATCCCAAAAGAAAGTTAAAAATAGAGAAAATAAGAAACCCTAAAGAAAGTCCAAACGGTAAAATTAAAAATGTTGCAGACTCGGTTTGATTGAGCCTGTTCATGGACGGTACTGTCAAGTGCAAACTACCTTTCAAAACCGCAAAATTGAAAATGTTGCATGCTCAACTTGATTGAAACTGTTCATAAACAATACTTGAAAATGCAAGCTACTGTCCATTGTTTACACCCCTATCATCTGCTTAAGCAGAATCCAACATTTAAAAGATAAGATTTTCTATTCAGAAACATCAGCAGATATTTTCATTCGGCGATTATGATGGAACTGTCCATGATACACGTAAGTGCATAAACGCTTCAAGAATTTTAAAATGATTACCTAACTGTAACCTACCGTAGGCCAAATTAACCAACACAGGCGAGCACTTTGCATTTGATCATACTATAAGCCGTACGTAAAAGATGCCTTATCCCCGGTCATCACTAAGCTAAATCCCCATGAAAAGTATTGTATGTCTTCTAGGCGACTTCTAGCGTAACCTTTGTTAATGCCGTTTTACTCTAGTTAAACATGCCATATATTCACTGAAGAATCCGTGGTGGGCCATTCCAACCGGAAAGGACAATCCTTAAATAAAAGCGAGCATATGGCGTAAAAAAGTGCTCAAACCATACCTACCAAAGTCACAAGGAGCATATGAGACCTTCCCTTAACCACTCCGAGTATATCAAGACTAACACGTCGAAGACTAAAACTGTATAACAAAATAAAGAGTAAAAGTAAAACTGAACAAAAGTTATTCTCCCATTTTAAATCCCATAAAATAGATAAATGCAGAATCCCTAAAGAAAGCCCAACACGGCAAAATTGAAAATGTTGCAGGCTCGGTTTGATTGAGCCTGTTCATGGACGGTACTGGAAAGTGCAAGTTACCGTCTACGCCCCCTAGCACCGGCTTAAGCAGAATTCAACATTTAAACATGAAATAGTAAAATTTTGAATCTAGAAACATCCGCAGATGTGTTCATATGGCGGTTATCATGGAACCTTCAATGTGACACAGCAGTGCCATTCCATAAATCTATTCAAAAACAGATAAAACTTGTTATTGGTCATATCTGATAAACACAACACACCAAAAAGCTAATTTGAATCATTGAGGATAGCAATGGCTGGTGCATCCTTCAGGAGGCTAGACAACATTTTGAAGGCTACTAATATCAGCAGAAAGATTAAAGTCTCTCTTTTCAAAAGCCTAGTCCTTTCCGTATTATTATAAGGATGTGAGACATGGAAACTGACGAAAACGGAGGAAAAGAAGATTGACTCCATCCATACAAGTGTCTAAGGAGGATCCTAAAGATCAGATGGCAACAGCGCATACCAAACCTGACTGTACTGGAGATGGCAGAAACACATAACATCAGTGAAGAGATTGGGACAAGGAGATGGAACTGGATCTGCAATATATTAAGAAAAAAAACAGCAGATGACTGTGCTGTGGCACTAGAGTGGTCGCCTGAGGGAAGAAGAAAGAGGGGAAGCCCAAAGACAACGCAACGTCGAATGATGGAGGTAGAAATAAACAAAGCGGTATGGAACTCTTGGAGCACAGCGCGCAAGACACGTGACACGCTGGTGGTGACGGGGGCTTTTGAGCAAATCTGTTTCAGGGAAAGTGGTTAGGGATGTGAAAAGACTAGTTCAAATTTCTTACCTTAACCTTAATTCTCTCCGTGCCAAGAGACACATAAGGCATGGACAGTTGTCTTCCACATGTTGCGGTCTAAAGCCTTAGATACAGGACCACTCTGCCACCTCTGCTATTGACAACATTTGGACCGACTTCACATCTGCGATCTCACAGATCATAGAAACCACGGTCCCATCCAAGATGTCAACAACTAGGCACAACCAACCTTGGATCACAGCAAAGATCAAGCGCCTTTCTAGAAGAAAGAAGAGAGCCTTTTAAGAAAGCCCAGTGCCAAGGGAGACAAACCAAGCCTATGTAACCCTAAGAAGCTCTACACTTTCATTAAAGGGAAGCGGTCTGACAGCACGGGAATCTCTCCACTAAAATGTGATGGTGTGACTCACAGCGATCCAAGTAAGAAGGCTTAAATATTGAAAAAACAGTTCACTGGGGTGTTCACTACAGAAGATACAACAGACGTACCAGCCATGGACGGAGAAAGATACCCAGGCATGCCTCACTTCACAGTAGGAGCTGAGGGCGTCAAGAAACTTCTCCCCAGCCTCAACCCCCACAAGGCCTCTGGTCCTGACAATATACCGACACAATTTCTGAAGGACTATGCCGAAGACATTACCCCGGCTCTCACCCTCTTGTTCAACGCCTCTTTGCAACAAAGAACAGTACCTTCAGCCTGGAAGAAGTCAATGTATCACCTATCTCAAAAAAGGTGACCGTAGCAACCCCACCAACTACAGACCCATTTCCCTCACATCAGTATGCAGCAAACTCCTAGAACACACCCTACATAGCCAAATTATGAAACACCTTGACCACCACAACATCCTTTCAAATCAACAACATGGATTTAGAAAACAACGCTCAACTGAAAGTCAGCTTCTTCTCACTCTTCAAGACCTGTCATCAGCCTTGGATCAAGGGGAACAAGTAGACGCCATACTACTAGACTTCAGTAAGGCGTTCGACGTTGTGCCTCACCAACGACTCCTTTCCAAGGTGGATCACTACGGCATCAGAGGGACAGTCAGAAGCTGGATTGAGAGCTTCCTGTCTGACCGCAGCCAACAAGTTGTCGTTGAAGGTCATTCATTTGCATCCTCCCCAGTTACATCCGGGGTACCCCATGGGACAGTACTAGGTCCTTTACTGTTCCTTCTTTACATCAACGACCTACCAAGGTGCGTGACTTCCATCAGCCACCTATTTGCTGACGACAGCCTGATCTACAGGAAAATCAAATCAGAATCTGACGCATTAGCCCTCTAAGAAGACCTTGATAGACTCCAGGAATGGGAACGCAAGTGGATGATGTCTTTCAATCCCAGCAAATGCAAAGTAATACACATCACCAAGAAAAGATTTATGCCTACAAGGTCCACCAATCAACTCTTCAATCTGTCAAAAGTAGAAAGTAACTTGGTGTCAACATCGCAAATAATCTTTCATGGAACATACACACAGAATATACCATCAAGAAGGCTAACAACTCTCTATAATTCCTTAGAAGAAACATCACAAGCTGCCCACAAGACATCAAGTACCCTTGTTAGACCAATCCTGGAGTATGCATGTACAGTCTGGGACCCACACACAGCCACCAACATCAACCAGCTGGAAGCTGTCCAAAGGCGAGCTGCCCGATTTGTAAAAGGCGATGACAAAACTACCAGCAGCACCACTGCAATGATGACAGACCTAGGCTGGCCAACTCTACAGCATCGCCGCTCCAATGTCAAGTTTACAGGATCACGCACAGTTAACCTCATAGCCATCCCAGCTGCACAGTACTTCCACCCCCTGACACTTGGTGGTCATGGCTACGGACAAAGATTCCATGTCCCATTCTGCAGAACAGACACCATGACCAGTTAATAACCTTCCGGTCAAGATGGCGGGAGAAAAAAGAATTTTGTTGACCACATTTTTTACGATTTTAATTTGTACTACAATCAACTTTTATCAGAAAAACATTTTAAATTGTCAACGAACGATACACAATTCTTCAGGGATCCTTGTAAATGTAACATACCCGCAGATTGGACTTGTAAATCTGTTTGAAAGACTTTCGTACCTTTCGTACTCAACTGTCAAACTCGGGGGAAGTCATTTCGACCCAGACTCGAAACAAATTTTTAAACTTGATAAACATTAAGTAACAGTAAACTTTAGATCAGTGTTCATTTTCTACTTGCTTCAGTGTGGCGATGTTCATCCTCACCCGGGTCCAGCTTCAGATAAACGTATTACTTCACGGAAAGGGAGACAACCCAGATATCCATGTACTAAATGTGAAAGAGGAGTTACCTCTCGTAGTAAAGCAGTAAGCTGTGATATTTGTCAACAGTGGACTCATATAAAATGTACCACCAGTATAACAGAAAAAGATTATGAATCCCTATGTAGAGGTGATGTTATATTTAACTTTACGTGTAATGGATGCACATTTACTGAACTTCCATTTTCACAAGATGCTCCTAATTTTAATGCCTCTGAATTGTTGTTTACGACAAATTCAAATGAAACACAAAATCCTTCTGAAATAAGTCAAGATCATTTCCAGTGTTTCTTTCAAAAAGGACTGCATTTTATTCATGTTAACGCGAGATCCTTACTTCCTAAAATATCGGAACTCCGGCTAATTGCACTAAAATCCAAAGCAGCTGTTATCTCAGTGTCAGAAACCTGACTCGACTCTTCAGTACCTGATGGGGAAGTTAATGTCCCAAATTATTTAGTTATAAGGCGTGACCGCAACAGGAATGGAGGTGGAGTGTGCATGTTTGTACGTGACGACCTGGCGTTCAATATAAGAACAGACTTATCATGGGATGGCGAAGAAATCTTATTCCTGGAACTACTCTTGCCAAGAAACAAGCCTATCATTGTTGGGACTGTCTACAGACCTCCAAAACATTCTAGTTTTTTAGACAGTTTTGAAAACATTTTAACTCATTTAAGAACAGATTGTGAAACTATAATTTTAGGTGATTTTAATATTTGTGTATTACATAAGTCTGGTTCTTTTTACAAGTCTTATTACAATATTTTACGGCTTTTTAATTTAGAACAGATTATTTCAGAACCTACTAGAATTTGTAGTTCATCTATTAGTCTACTTGATCATATTCTATGTAATAACAAAGAAAAAATATCTCAGTCAGGAGTTATTCCTATGGGTCTGAGTGATCATATGCTTACTTTTTGCACATGAAAAATTGTGAAAGTTCCAGCAAAGGAACATAATTATGTTAAAATCAGGTCTTTAAAAAAATATGATAAAACAGATTTTATTTCCAGATTAACAAATGCTGACTGGAGTACTTGTTTTTACTCTACTGATGTTAATACTGCATGGATTTCTTTTAAAAATGTGTTTACTAGTGTTTTAGACTATGTGGCCCCAGTAAAGGAAGTAAGACTACGTAACCAGTCAGAGCCTTGGATTAACTCCGAAATACTAGATAGTATCAAACAAAGAGACTCGTATTTATATAGATACAAAAGGTATGGTGAAAGAGAGGATTATAAGATTTTTTGTAAGTTAAGGAATCAAATTCAAAGAGATATAAAGACTGCTAAGTCAGAATATTTTACTAACAAAATAGAGGAAAACAAATTTAATCCTATCAAACTCTGGCAAAACTTAAAGACTTTGGGATATAAAAATGACAAGAAGAAATCTTCAAATATTGTATTATCAATTAATGGGGAAAACTGCCATGACGCTGATACTGTTTAAAATTATTTTAACGATTTTTTTACAAGTGTTGCTTCTAAACTTGTTGAGAAATTACCTTCAAGTAAAAAATTGTATGATTTAGGGTCTGAAAAGCTTTTCAATTTTTATAGTAAAAGAAATCCTGATAGTAATATTTTAAATCTACAACATGTATCTGAAAATTTTGTTTTTAAGGAACTATGCAACTTAAATGTTAGTAAAAGCACAGGATTAGATGGTATTCCTGCCCGATTTTTGAAGGATGGTTCTAGTGTTTTGAAAATACCAATTACTTACATTGTTAATCTATCTTTTTCTGAAGGTAAAGTACCTGATGAAATGAAGTTGGCTAGAGTAAAACCACTTTACAAGAAGAATAGTGTTCTAGAAGTTGGTAATTATAGGCCTGTCAGTATTTTAAGTGTAGTTTCAAAAATTTTAGAGAAAGCGGCTTATGTTCAACTTGAAACATTTTTGGTTTCCAATAATTTACTGTATGAACACCAGTCTGGTTTTAGAAGGTGTTATTCTACAGATAGCTGTCTTATTCACTTACAAGATGTTATAAGAATTAATACTAGTAAAGGGTTATACACAGGTATGGTGATGCTTGACTTGCAAAAGGCGTTTGACACCGTAGACCATGATATTCTTAGTGGAAAGTTAGAATTAATGGGTGTTCAGTCTATTTCCTGGTTCAGATCATATCTTTCAGAACGTTCACAAATTGTTAATATCGGAAATACTTACTCTAAATCAAACAGTGTGACCTGTGGCCTCCCCCAAGGTAGTATTCTAGGGCCGTTGCTTTTTCTGTGCTACGTAAATGATATGATTTTAAGTATTGATAATGATTGCAAGTTAATACTGTATGCAGATGACAGCACTATTTTATTCTCACATAAAGACCCGAATTTCATCTCAGAAAAACTTGGGACAGCCCTAGAAAGCTGTTCAGAATGGCTTGTAGACAATAAGCTGTCACTCCACCTTGGTAAGACAGAATGTATGCTGTTTGGCCCCAAAAGAAAATTACAAAAGCAAGAACAATTTACTGTTACATGTAATGGTCATAGCATAAAGGGTACTAATTTAGTCAAGTATCTTGGTCTATATATCAATAGTGATTTATCTGGGGAAACTTTTGTTAATAACATTATTTCTAAAGTGAATGCCAAGCTCAAATTTTTATACAGGCAGAGCAGACTTTTAGATACTAAAACAAAACAGCTTTTATGTTCAGTCCTGATTCAGTGTCATTTTGACTACTCTTGTTCCTCTTGGTATGAAGGTTTATCAAAACATTTGAAAAGAAAGTTACAAATTACTCAGAATAAGGTATTAAGATTTGTCCAAAACTTAACGCCCAGAACTTCTGTAACAGTGTATGAGTTTGAAAAATTAAATTGGTTAAATGTAGAAAACAGAGTCAAACAGTTAAGACTCAATCATATGTATAAGATTTTTTTACAAAAAGAGTCCATCATACCTTAGAGCCGACTTTAGATGTTGTGCTGATGCAAGATTTTAGAACACTAGATCAAGCAATTTTAATTTTATTGTCCCCCAGTGTAATTCTGTGATGAAACAGACCTTTTATTATAATGGAATTAAAGACTGGAATGATCTGCCAGAGTATATAAAATCCATTAATAATTTTGTGCAATACAAAAAATCTGTTAAAAAGTACCTACTAGAAAGTTATAAAAGTCTTTCAGAAGATATATATGTGTACAACTAATGTGTTAGGCACTGTGATCAAATATTTCTGTGATAGTCATCTGTGATAGTAATACTAGGCTTATTTTAAAAAGGGCATACTTTTATAAATATATTTCCTTTTTCAACCAAAATTTTGACCAAAGTTTAGTTTAGTTTTTTATCTTGTTGTTTTTTTTTGGGTTTTTTTTTGGTTTTTTTTTGTTTTTTTGTTTTTGTTTTTTTTTCTTAGGGGGGAAAGGGTTAAAATTATGTTTTTTTTTGTTTTTTTTTTATTTCTATGGACCCCATTGGAAATAAGCATTTAGCTTAATGGTCTATCCATAGGTGCATAGTACCTCTTATTTTATTTTTTTATGACAAAAGTGTGCTCTTTTATGCTGTTTTATGATCTCATTTTATTTATATGATTTATATATGTTATCTCTTAACTGTATGATTTTATATTTTGTATCATGTGCTATGTTCCTAAAATGTATAAATAAAATAGATAAAAGTTCTCCTTTGTACCTTCGGCCATCCGCCTGTAGAACCAGCTTCCAGAGCACCTAGCCACAGCAGTCAACCTTGAGGCCTTCAAGGGAGGACTTGTCATGGGGCCATCTTGATTTTATTTTTAACATGTTCTTCTTTTAAATCTGCACTTATTCGCCGCACAACACTTTGTACATACACCCTGTACGTCAATGCCCCGGAGTGGGTTATGTACAGTATTGGAAGAAGAAGAAGAAAACAGGACTATTAATCCCGAATTCAATTTTGCCACATTAGATGCTGATACAATAAACCATTTCAAAATGTGCGTCATTTCAATAAATAAATTAATCTGATAAGGAGAGTATGAATATCAATTACTAACACAAATAATAATAGCACAAATACAATTGAAGAACAACAAAACAGTACCCGCAGTAGAATGAAAGATGAGATAATAAAATTATGCATAGCATTTTTTTCTTTCCGATACTAAATAAACGTTGGGTTTTAGTAAAATTCAACATGGCGGACATGGAAGTTAGCGAGGGTAAATTTTATTTTCTTTGTTATTTCAATGACATTTGGATTAATTTGTTAAGACGAGGTGTATTTGATCACGGTAAAGTTATTTTAATTACAAATATTGGTGTGATTCATTGTTGAATTCTAGGCTTCATATTCATACTTCCCTTCATCTACACATGAAGCCGGTTAGGAAGAGTTGTTGGATATGTTCATTTATTGATCAGATCCGCGAGCCCTGACGGTACATACCTTTACGAAGAATTTTATTATTTGGCTTCTGACTCTCCATATATAATTATGTCGCAGTTCACTCTAACGATATGGGAAAGGTGCTGCTAAGAGGTTCTGGGCCTTGAGCGTTGCTATAAAATACAGAAATACGCACTCAGAAAATATTTATTATCAATGAATTTGAAGTCTGGCTCGCGCCATGAAAATCTTCAGTAGGAGTGCGCATGCATGAAGGTACTTAGTGCAGAAATAGAATATTTAGAATTGAGGCCCGTACCAGTGGTTAGTACATACTTGTTAATAAATGAATGAATGAAGAAATGAATGAATGAGTAAATGAATAAAAGGATGAATGAATGGGATATAGGAAAATGACACAAATATAGGACTTCACAAGATATATACAGTATCAAATACGACATACATGACATGGACATGTAAATAACATAATCTACGGTGACAAACAACATAGAACATTAACACATCAATATGACCCTGCGACAATTATAAATTCAATAAGTATCAAAAGTATATAAATTCTTTTTTTGCTGATTGTCTATGATTAATTTGATTTTATCTGACTCCGACTCCAAGTCTAGAATCATCCTACACATATACAGTAATATGAAATTAGGCAAAGCCTATGAACGGGGAAGTCGTTAAAAAATTCCTTTCATTCTTTCCGTTTTAAAATTGTCATTCGGTATTACATGCACCGCTTCCGTTTTCACTCGGAACACTCGACGTTTATTATTTATCCGAAAAGTTGAGATTTGTTCCGTTATCGGAATACCCCGCCTTTTATCATTGAGTTACATTGTAAATGGCGGCGCTCGACTAGAACTGACACTGAAAATTTCCTTGATAGGTATAGAATTCTAAATATTTTTTAATTGTTTTTTATTTATTTCTTTTAAATATACACGTGTAGTCTATAGCCGGGCAAGCCAAAGCCCGGACCCGCTTCGCGGGCCCGGTCTTTGACTTCCCCGTAATATTTTACAGATTGAGATTAAGATAGGAATTAAATGTTTTCTGTCAATTAACTTATGTGAAACTCTAAGTCTAACCAATGCCATCTCAACTTTTTGTGTTTACTCAATATTTTATCACTAAGACACTAACATCCATAAAGTTACCATCTTTATAAGGCATGTTAACCAGTAATTCTGATTTATTTAATGTTCCTGTTTTAATATTGATGTTGACAAATTTACTATTGCTCACATTGTATGATTTAATGTGATAATAAATGTTGATTTTGTCTTTCAGGAAGCGAAGCGGGTAGTCCTAGAAGCCATCAATCTGGAAGTCCAATGAGGGAAGGGTCAGTATCTCCTGCCCATAGTGGTGCATCCGGCAGTCCAATGCATGAAGGATCAGTATCTCCTACACACAGTAAAGGTTCCAGAAGTCCTGACAGAGAGGGTTCAGTTTCCCCAGCTCATAGTGCTGCTTCAGGAGGTCCTGACAGAGAGGGTTCAGCGTCCCCTGGTCAGAGGTCAGGGAGCCCTCACAGAGAAGGATCTGCCTCACCAGCTCATAGTGCAAGGTCACATTCTCCGGACAAAAGTAGGTCAGCCTCGCCTAGGAGTGTCCACAGTGGTGGGGATGGCAGTCCTTCACACAGTAGAGAAGGATCAGCAAGTCCTGCAGGAAGTCATAGGTCTGGAGGATCTGCTAGAAGTCGATCTGGTAGCCCTGCTCACAGTCATAAATCTGCACGTAGTAGATCAGGAAGTCCTGCACATAGTGAAAGGTCTGCTCGTAGTAGATCTGGAAGCCCTGCACATAGTGAAAGGTCTGCCCGTAGTAGATCTGGAAGCCCTGCACATAGTGAAAGGTCTGCTCGTAGTAGATCTGGTAGCCCTGCACATAGTGAAAGGTCTGCTCGTAGCAGATCAGGGAGTCCTGCACACAGTGAAAGGTCTGCTCGTAGTAGATCTGGTAGCCCTGCACACAGTGAACGGTCTGGTAGTCCTGCACATAGTCATAGGTCTGCTCGCAGCAGATCTGGTAGCCCAGCACAAAGCAGAGAAGGTTCAGCTAGCCCAGCTGGTAGTCGTAGATCAAGAAGCCATTCAGGTAGCCCTGCTCGTAGTAGATCAGGAAGTCCAGCATCCAAAAGGTCAAGGTCAGGTTCGAGGAGTCCAGCAGGAAGCCACAGGAGCAGGTACCTTTGTTAGATCCCATTTTAGCCAAAAATATAGTTTATAAAACCATCTGATTGTTTATTTAATATCCCCCTTTTATGCTTTAAATAATGTATAAAAGTATCACTGGTTAACTCTATGACATGAGGATGCAATTCTGTGATAATACTTGTTTTTATTTTATAGATCTGGGAGTCCATCAGAACATGGCAGTCAGAAGAAAGGTAGGTTATATTGTTGTCTGTAATGATATTCTATTTTTCAGAACATTTTGTAAACAGTTTAGATTTCAATTCATAATTTTTTTTCCACAATGATTGCTAAGCTACATCTATGTCCTACCTTATAAACTAGAAATCTTTTAATTAAAGTTCAATTTGTTTTTAGCTTCAATTTGCATGAGCACATATTACTCAACAGTGAGCTTAGACAAATGGCATAATTCTAAAAGCAGTATTTTTGGAGTTACGTCCCTTTTACTGTAGAATTTTTAACAGGCGATCATTATCACCGCATGCTCTTGTGTTTAATCTGGTATACAGTTGTAACTGAATATTTCAGATGGGCATGCTTCTGATTCAGATGATTCTATAATAGGTCGTAAGAAAGTACCGTCAGAAGATGATGGGCTGTCTGACATCGAGGGTGGGGAACAAGTGCAAGGTATAACTCTATAATATAATAATTCTGTTCTCTCTAATATTCTTTTCTCTTATATCTGTAAAATAATGATTGTAATTGTTAGACTTAAATGATAACACCTGTAACATTACTTGATATTTTGCATGTAGCTTTCTTGGTGGAACTCTTCAGAAATTATATAAATTATGAACCTGAGTTAGAAATTGGCCACACCCACAGAACCGGAGTTAGAAATTGGCCACACCAACAGGATTACTTGCTAAATATTGGAAAACATACCTTATCTCTTTGTTGGAAACTACAATTTCTAGAACTTAGATAATTTGCTTGTAGCATTGCCTAGTAGACCTCTACAGTTATATGAGTTATAAATGCTCCCACCCAGAAGGTCATTTAGTATAATTTTAGATAAAACATGTTTCTGACAAGTTTCATAAATAGGTTTCTTCTTGAATTGAGAGATTAATACTCAGTCAAATTTTCGTTTAGGCATATATTCTGGACTTTGTGGTGCTCTTGTAAATTGTTACATTGCTCTCAAAATTCTTCTGGATTTTAGTGCAATGTTTGAAGAAAAATTTAAATGTACAAGTATAGTGTTTTGTTTTCAGCCACTGTGGATGATCTGTTTGGTGATGCTGATGATATAAGTTCTGATGAAGAGGCTAAGAAAGATTTAGATAAAAAAGATGATGATAGAGGAGATGATGATGATGAAGGTAGAACTCAGGTAATAGAAACAGACTATACATGTAAAAACCTGTACACAGACTAGAAGACAGTTTTACATTAACATGTTGTATCTTAAAGGAACTCCACTGAGGTCCAAAGGCCTAAAAACAAAAAAATCTGAATTTCTTAAATAAATTAGCTTTGGCACTTAAAACAGGAAAATATGCAAAACATTATTACCAAATATACTCAGACATAAATTGAAAATCATATTTGGTGCTATTCCTAGCTTGATTGGAGTGATAAGCATTGCAACATTTTCCAATTCTGGCTTGTTTTTCACAATTAAAATCATTATTTAGGGAAAATGGAAACAGCGAATGATCAGAAATTTTGTACACAAGTTATTGGTGTAACCTACATCGCATAGAACATTTATCTCGAAAAATTATTTCCCGAGTCCTGTCATGTCATAAAACATCAGTTGGAGTCCCTTTAAATTTAGACTAATTTAAATCTAAATACTTGGTTAACTTCATGCTTTTACTTGTTTTGTAAATTTTGCTTATATTGTTATGAATCTTGGCAGAAAAATACATTGTGTGGCTACAAATAAATTAGCCATATTCAACGAAGATCTCTCTACAGTGAAACAATGTCCAGAAAACTTTGCTTTTTAAAATCTGGATTTAACTTTTCAATTTAATGCTGATAACTACTAAGTATGACTCACATTGATATATCAGTTATATTCATCAGTTTATTGGAAGTAATTGTTTTGAGCGCGTGGTTTTCTTAGATGAAAAAACAACAACAACAAAACAACAATGTTATGATGAACCTATGTCTGGTTCTGAATGTTTTATTAATATTCAGTTTTTGTTTATGGATAAAAGCAATTAAATAAATTAATGGCCATTAAAAATACAGTATATGATATTGTATATTATGATTTTACCGGCATTTAATAGTGTACCATTTGCCATGATGCAGCTCAATTGTTTTGTTATTCATAGAAACCAATGATAGAAGGTTCGGATTTGTTATTTATAGAAACCAATGATAGAAGGTTCGGATTTGTTATTTATAGAAACCAATGATAGAAGGTTCGGATTTGTTATTTATAGAAACCAATGATAGAAGGTTTGGGTTTGTTATTTATAGAAACCAATGATAGAAGGTTCGGATTTGTTATTTATAGAAACCAATGATAGAAGGTTCGGATTTGTTATTTATAGAAACCAATGATAGAAGGTTCGGATTTGTTATTTATAGAAACCAATGATAGAAGGTTCAGATTTTTGTATTTATAGAAACCAATGATAGAAGGTTTGGATTTGTTATTTATAGAAACCAATGATAGAAGGTTCGGATTAGTTATTTATAGAAAACAATGATAGAAGGTTCGGATTTGTTATTTATAGAAACCAATGATAGAAGGTTCGGATGAAGAAAACCAGGAACCAGAAGAGGCTCCGGAAACGAGAATTGAAGTTGAAATCCCGAGAATCAAAACCAACCTCGGCAAAGCTGTACATTATGTTAAATTGCCCAACTTTCTCAGTGTGGAAACAAGGTCAGTGTATCATGATGCTTGAGGTGCTAGTGAAATAATGAATATTTGATTACTTTGTTTGTTCTTTAAGTGTACATGTATATCTAAAAATTACTGTAATAAGATGCTTACTACTAAATTGTAATTTTTGTAATTTTATTGTCTTAGCAAACAGAAACTTAGGTTGACCTGAACATTGGAAGTTTGAACCCTGGACAGCAGCTTATGTTTTTCTGTGACCATTTTGCTTAACAATAATATTTAGAAAAACTGTTTACCCACTGTTACAATATTGTATCCATGGTAATCTTGGTTGGTTTTAACTCTGGAAGTTACTCATAAATAAAAAAGCAAGGGACAACACATTTGTAACACGTAGGTTCTGCCTGCCAGAATATGACAAACATAATTAAAGTAGTATTTTGGTACTTTACCTTTGCAATCCTAAATATCTTAAATGGACTTGAACATCTTTCATTCTGGACAATACCATTAATCACTTTTAGGGAAAATTTTAAAATATATACTGACTGAATAGCGAGCAGTGCAAGCCATGATGTGACAGCACAAGTACAGATTTGGTGGCACATTCAAGATAATTACTGACTGAATACCAAACAGTGCAGACCATGAGCAGACGGCACAAATGTACAATCTGATCTTGGTCTGCACTGGTGTCATAGGTAGAATCTGTTGTTGCTAGCTGGCTAAGGGTTTTCAGGAACAAGCAAAAAACTAATAATAACTGTTATAAGATGTTTATATTTCTGGTAATTTCAGACCATTTGATTCTCAGACATATGAAGATGAGATAGATGAAGATGAAGTGTTAGATGAAGAAGGTAGAACAAGAATGAAGCTAAAAGTATGTCTTAGACTTTACTGCTTTTGTTTAATATTTCATTAATATCGAATAATCGGACGTAGATATATAGCAATGAAACTATCAGACATGTTCCCTGTAAACTTATATACACTTTGATGCTGTGTTTAAAGTGACATTATGCTCATATTTTCATAGTCAAGTTGAGCTGAGTTGACTTTATATTTCAAAAGATTGACTGTTAAAATGGTGTTTGACCAACAGGTGATATTGGAAAACTATCAGGATAAAATTATAAATCTGCATAAAATATAAAAAGACTGCCCCACTCTTTTTATAAACTGAGTGTTAGAGGTAAATTCTAATAGATATTTACAGAAATTTTATTTGGATCTGTGAATTGTTTATTGTTTATGGGAAGCAAATTATTAAATTAAAAGGAATTATGGCAAATTGAAAACTTATTTTGATATTCACCTGTTCACTCACTATATATTCTTGGATGGGCATAATGTCACTTTAAGTAATGAAAATGTGAAATATTCGAAGGAGGCAATAACAATGGCAAGTGCATTGCTGTGAAATAAAGCATGGAGTCTGACTGTTTTTGTTTATATAGAAAAACTCCAATAGTGTTAGAATATGCAATATGTTTATTATTCTTCAGGTTGAAAACACAATAAGATGGCGGACATTGAAAGACGAGGAAGGAAATGATTTAAAAGATGAGGAAGGTAAACCAATGAGAGAAAGTAATGCCAGGGTTGTCAGATGGTCAGACGGAAGGTAAATGGACTGTCATAATATTTTAAATGTTTATTTGGAGGCTGTTTTTGCTCCTTAAATATTTTAGCAATTTTTATTTGGTGATATGTAAAGTTAGAATTTTGTTTTATTTATGAAAGATAAAGCCATCTAAAAAATTGAGGTTATGCATAGTATTGTTGTACTCAATATGGGTTGCATTGGTCTGTTGTTTTAGCTATGTATGTTAAGTATTAGTTATAAAGATTTTTGACAGGTTATATGGCCCAATGTAAACAGTTATGATCTTATTAAGCAAACAATCATTTATAAAAGGTCATACAAGCGAGTAAAAAATCTTTAGATAAATTTATGAAACAACAAAATTCCTTTATTTGTGGAAACAGAATTTCAAAGCAGCTGTCAATATAGATTATATTAACATCACAATTATTCAATGAAAATTGATGTAACAAATACGTAGTATAATAAGCAGTTATAAATAACCTTGTTTTATAATTTCAGTATGTCACTACATCTAGGGGAGGAAATATTTGACATACACACTATGCCAATTCAAGGAGATTTTAACCATTTATTTGTACGACAAGGAACTGGTTTACAGGGACAGTCTATATTCAAAACTAAACTTACATTTAGGTAAGTGTCATTTCTTATGATTCAAATGATTAAAAAACCCATTCTTTTTGTAATCCTGGCACAAATGTTTTTATGCCCCAACTTAATGGGTCGGAACATATGATATAGATTTCCACTGTCTTGTTTGTCTGTCAAGCTGACTGTAGACTGACTTTACAGTGAAATATGAAGGATATCTCACATTCTTAGTTTTGTAATAGACTTCTTCCTGTTTTGATTAAGAAAGTGTCCATTAATGATAGATTAAGGGATTTAAATAGCAAAATATTGAAAATAAAAAGTCACAAGTATGTCAAGCAGGGTCACACTGCTTTGCCAGGTTTTGTATTTAAGATAAATGGCGAAGTGATTTAATATGAGGCGTCTATTAACGTAAACGTCTGTTTTGTACGTTTACGTCATTTCCTTTATGTATCAACTGACGAAGCTAATAAAGCAAAACATGTATTATATCTAAACATGTATTGATATCTAAATTTGTGTTGGTTTTAATCTATTTGTCCTAAGTGATTTAATACAAATTCTCCTATAGACAGAAGTAAACTAAGTTTTGTTTGATATATATTTTCAGACCACATTCCACAGAATCATTTACACATAGAAAGATGACCCTGTCATTAGCTGATAGATCTACAAAGAAACAGAAAGTTAAAATTCTACCAATATCAGGACATGATCCTGAATCACAAAGATCGGAAATGATCAAAGTAAGTATATTGTCTATTTGTTGATGTAAATGAAGACGGTATGAGCAATGGTAAAGAATATCTAACATGTGAGTCAATGAATGAAGGTGTTAAATATACTTTACCATTTCTCTCATCACCTTTATCTATTGTCATGTACGAAATGCTGAACCAAAAACAAAGTACATGTGCAAGTGTAGCTTTTAAGGCACTTTTGGAGTGTACTGAAATAATGCATGGAAAGTCACCTGAGGTCTTATTTGAAAGTCGCCAAATGACCTCTATAGTGTTGGTCCAACATAAAACCCAACCAAAAAAAGAAAGTTTTGAGTTTCTTAATATCAAAATTGCATTATATTATAGTATAATCTCAGTAAGTAACTTTAACAACCTTGAAGCATTTCCAAAGCTATGTTAAAATTGTTCATTACATTACATATGTAAAATAATTTTGTTGAATGTAATTGTATCATATGAAGGCAGTAGGCAGAAATGTCGGGACTACACAAAAAGTATAAATGAGCCGCGTCATGACAAAACCAACATAGTGTGTTTGCGACCAGCATGGATTCAGACCAGTCTGCGCATCCATGCAGTCTGATCAGGATCCATGCTGTTCGCTATCAATTTCTCTACTTGTTATAGGGTTTGTAAGCGAACAGCATGGATCCTGATCAGACTGCGCGGAGGCGCAGGCTGGTCTGGATCCATGCTGGTCGCAAACCCATTATGTTGATTTTGTCATGGCGCGGCTCAAATTATTTCTGAATTTCCTTATCATGTATAGAAAGAGGAAGAAAGATTACGGGCATCAACGAGGTTAGAGAGTCAGAAACGTCGTGTACGTGAGCGGTCACATGCGAAGGGTCTCAGTCACAGTTATCTCGAGGGTTACGAGGATGAGGAGGAGGAAGGAGGAATTTCATTATCAGCCATTAAAAATAAATATAAACGTGGAGATAAAAGAGGTAATTTCATTATCAGCCATTAAAAATAAATATAAACGTGGCGATAAAAGAGGTAATTTCATTATCAGCCATTAAAAATAAATATAAACGTGGCGATAAAAGAGGTAATTTCATTATCAGCCATTAAAAATAAATATAAACGTGGAGATAAAAGAGGTAATTTCATTATCAGCCATTAAAAACAAATATAAACGTGGAGATAAAAGAGGTAATTTCATTATCAGCCATTAAAAATAAATATAAACGTGGCGATAAAAGAGGTAATTTCATTATCAGCCATTAAAAACAAATATAAACGTGGAGATAAAAGAGGTAATTTCATTATCAGCCATTAAAAATAAATATAAACATGGAGATAAAAGAGGTAATTTCATTATCAGCCATTAAAAATAAATATACACATGGCGATAAGAGGTAATTTTATTATCAGCCATTAAAAATAAATATAAACGTGGAGATATTAAAAATAAATATAAACGTGGAGATAAAAGAGGTAATTTCATTATCAGCCATTAAAAACAAATATAAACGTGGAGATAAAAGAGGTAATTTCATTATCAGCCATTAAAAACAAATATAAACGTGGAGATAAAAGAGGTAATTTCATTATCAGCCATTAAAAACAAATATAAACGTGGTGATAAAAGAGGTAAGTTCATTATCAGCCATTAAAAACAAATATAAACGTGGAGATAAAAGAGGTAATTTCATTATCAGCCATTAAAAACAAATATAAACGTGGAGATAAAAGAGGTAATTTCATTATCAGCCATTAAAAACAAATATAAACGTGGTGATAAAAGAGGTAAGTTCATTATCAGCCATTAAAAACAAATATAAACGTGGTGATAAAAGAGGTAATTTCATTATCAGCCATTAAAAATAAATATAAACGTGGAGATAAAAGAGGTAATTTCATTATCAGCCATTAAAAATAAATATACACATGGCGATAAGAGGTAATTTTATTATCAGCCATTAAAAATAAATATAAACGTGGCGATAAAAGAGGTAATTTTATTATCAGACATTAAAAATAAATATAAATGTGGAGATATTAAAAATAAATATAAACGTGGAGATAAAAGAGGTAATTTCATTATCAGCCATTAAAAACAAATATAAACATGGCGATAAAAGAGGTAATTTCATTATCAGCCAAAAAAAATAAATATAAACGTGGCGATAAAAGAGGTAAGTTCATTATCAGCCATTAAAACTAATGTAAACAACCCCAAAGATTTTGCAATGTCCTCTTTTCTGCCATTTTGGGGGCAGGGGACAGGGAATGTGCCTTGATGAGTTTCTGCCACACCGATTTTCAAAGATATAAGGTCTCTGAGACCCGTTATTGAACTTAAAATGTAACTGTATATATATGTTATATTTTAGATCGTCCTCATATATATTCATCAGACAGTGATGAAGGAGGTTATGATTCAGAACAAGAAGATACTGGTGCCAAACGATTAATGAAAGCTAAAAAAGTCATCAGCGATGATGAGGTAAATATTTTACTACGTGTATATGTCTATAAATTTCACATGTTTATAACTGATTCCCCTTCTTGTAATTGCAGAACAGAACAGTATATGATTATGTTTGCTGTAAGATCTTCAGGCAATGCAAATATTTTGTACTGTTATACATCATTTAGAATGAGCGATATTTTAGAGTTGATCAGAACGCTGTTGTAAATTGTTCTAAGGATATATCATTCCATCGTTTTGTTTTTATACTCCCACTTTGATAGTCTGTCATTTGCAGAGAAATAAGTTATTACTGTTTACACTGGTTTAGTTAGCCAGGAATGCTGGTTAGGTAGAATGAGCGCCAAATTATGACAAAAAAGTTTTTTTAAGATCAGCTTAAAATACAGATAAACATTCAAGATAAACCCACCTTTATGTTAGTGGGCTGCAAGCCAGTGTTTTTTGCTTGTTTGTTTGTTTGTCTGTCTGTCTGAGGGAGAAAAAAAAGACTAACCTTGACTGCTAGTATAGAGCCAGGCCAGCCTGGACTTTTATGCTGTCTCATCAAGCTCTATACTGGTGACTGACTTAGATTTTAATTTTCATCTTGATATCCCCTAAATTAATAAAACATTTGTAAATGGAAGTCTGTGTAAGAAATGTAGCAGATTGTGGGTTAAATTACGTTGTTAAAATTTGAAAATCATTACATATTATCAATCAAAAAAATTGTATTTATAAAATAATTATTATTATGGAATAAGTTGTTATTATTATGGAATAAGTTGTTATTATTTAATTTTACCTATGAAGTATGGTAGTATATCAGTCAAATATATTTCATATTAGTAAAAAATAAATATGAAATATAAATATGAAAGTGGCGGAGTCAAAACTCATATTTATTTAAAGGACTTCTTGGACCATTTTTTTAAAAAAATCTGATAAATAAAAAACAACTTTTTGTTGAATTCTGTTTTGAAAACTAGAATGATAGAAAATGTTCTAATGTCTAACTAAGAACATAACTCCGAACACCAATATCTTTAATTCAGTTATTAACGCTGTACAGACGTTTAAAGAGTTGTTTACGTGACGTCACAATGTAGCGTCAAATATAATGTGCAAAACAAGACGCAATATTATATTACTGCTCGCTGTACAATTGCAGTTGCGTAGCATGCAATTGAGTCTGTCATCATTTTTCTCTGATAATGAAATTAAATAAAAAAGTTATTTTTTCGATTTACGTGAAATATGGTATATATTTAAGAAATAATATATCCCAAACTGTGATTTTATCGCTCAATAACATCACTGTTTGGAGTTCGGATGCGAGGAATTATATCACGAGGGCGTAGCCCGAGTGATATAATGATGCGCATCCGAACGACAAACAGTGATGTTATCCAGCGATAAAATCACCGATTTGGATATATTATTTCGATTCTAACACAACATAAACAAAAAAATGCTGCCGTACCAGCTATTAAGCAAAATTGCGCCTGATTTGTTTCCGTACTTATTGTCAGCGCGTCGGATTTTATAGTGGTTACGTCACATGTATAATGATTACGTCACATGTCTAAACATAGAGCGTCAAACAGTGACTCTATTGCATAATAACACACACTTTCGGTTCTTCTATGTTCAATAGGGAAAATGCGGGTCGTGTTAGAATTTCACTCAACATGATAAAATGCCACATATTATATTATAAATATATTCCATATTTCACTCAAACGAAAAATATCCTCTTATTATTATTATGGAATAAGTTGTTATTATTATGGAATAACTTGAAATTTCAGGATTCTGAAACTGAGACGTTACCTAAGAAGAAGAAAGCTCGGGTTGTTGAAAGTAGTGATGAAGAGGAGGGCGGGGCCAAGGGTAGTGAAGATGAGGCGGGTGGAGCTATGGACACAGGGGGTAATGCCAGTGGTGGAGGGGGTGGTAGTGACTCAGACTGAAAATGATAAAAAGTGTTCTGAAGTATGGAAGTGTATAATAGTGACAAGTGCTTGTCTTGTGTAGCAGTAACACAAGGGGTTTAAGAGTGGTGGGATAAGATGCAGTTTTTGGTTACGTTGTCATATGCTGAAGAATTTACTGTATAATTTAGCAACATCATATAGCTGCCTGCAGGATTACAAAACTACACACTACAACAGTCACTTTTTATAACTGTAATGTTTTTGTTTGTTTTAGTGAAAAAATTCATGATGACAAATGAAGTTGATTGATTTGTCATGTTTTGATGTAATAAAAAAGTAGATATAACAAAAACATAATCGTATCATCTATGTCTGTAGTTCAATGTTTTGAGAATTTTTTCTTCATTTCATTGTTATCTAGCTACTGGAAAATTATACCCCCGCACAACAAAGTTGTAAGGGGGGTATACTGGAATCAGGTTGTCCGGCTGTACGTCGGTTTCTTCTTGTCCGCCCAATAACTAAAGATTCCTTTGACCCTTAGTCTTCATATTTGGCATGGAGGTTAGTCATGATAAGTAGATGACCCCTATTGATTTTGAGGTCACCAGGTCAAAGGTCAAGGTCACAGGGGCCTTGACTTCAAAAAGCTTGTCTGCCCAATAACTTAATATTCCTTTGACCCATAGTCTTCATATTTGACATTGAGGTTAGTCATGATCTAGTAGATGACCCCTATTGACTTTGAGGTCACCAGGTCAAAGGTCAAGGTCACAGGGGCCTTGACTTCAAAAAGCTTGGCCACTCAGATTCCTTTGACCCACAGTCTTCATATTTGGCATGGAGGTTAGTCATGATTGGTAGATGACCCCTATTGACTTTGAGGTCACCAGGTCAAAGGTCAAGGTCACAGGGGCCTCTACTTCAAAAAGCTTGTCCGCCAAATAACTTAATATTCCTTTGACCCACAGTCTTCATATTTGGCATGGAGGTTAGTCATGATTAGTAGATGACCCCTATTTACTTTGAGATCACCAGGTCAAAGGTAAAGGTCACAGGGGCCTTGACTTCAAAAAGCTTGTCTGCCCAATAACTTAATATTCCTTTGACCCATAGTCTTCATATTTGACATTGAGGTTAGTCATGATTAGTAGATGACCCCTATTGACTTTGAGGTCACCAGGTCAAAGGTCAAGGTCACAGGGGCCTTGACTTCAAAAAGCTTGGCCACTCAGATTCCTTTGACCCACAGTCTTCATATTTGGCATGGAGGTTAGTCATGATTGGTAGATGACCCCTATTGACTTTGAGGTCACCAGGTCAAAGGTCAAGGTCACAGGGGCCTCTACTTCAAAAAGCTTGTCCGCCAAATAACTTAATATTCCTTTGACCCACAGTCTTCATATTTGGCATGGAGGTTAGTCATGATTAGTAGATGACCCCTATTTACTTTGAGATCACCAGGTCAAAGGTAAAGGTCACAGGGGCCTTGACTTCAAAAAGCTTGTCTGCCCAATAACTTAATATTCCTTTGACCCATAGTCTTCATATTTGGCATGGAGGTTAGTCATGATTAGTTGATGACCCCTTTTGATTTTGAGGTCAAAGGTAAAGGTCACAGGGGCCTTGACTTCAAAAAGCTTGTCCGCCCAATAACTGTAGATTCCTTTGACCCACAGTCTTCATATTTGGAATTGAGGTTAGTCATGATTAGTAGATGACCCCTTTTGATTTTGAGGTCACTGGATCAAAGGTCAAGGTCACAAACACTTTGACTTCAAAAAGTTTGTCCACCCATTAACTTACGATTCCTTTGACCCTCAGTCTTCATATTTGGCATGGATGTTGATCATGACCATAAGGTGACCCCTATTGACTTTGAGGTCACTGGGTCAAAGGTCAAGGTCACAGGGACCTTGACAAAAAAAAGCTTTTCTTCTCAATTGCTAAAGAATGCCTGTTTGCAGTGTATTGATTTTGACATTTTCGCATTTGAAGCATGTAGAATACATAACTTAGCATTGCAATGGCTTAGTAACCTCAGATTTGGCAGGGAGGTTGTCCCTGAGCTCTAAATGGCCACTGTTGATTCTGACAAAGTGGTATGCGGGGGTATTCAAGCCATGATAGTGGCAGTTCAAGTTTTCTTAGACAATTAAGCATGTTTTATATTCATTTTATTTAGTGAAATTCTATAATACAAATATAAGAAATCTATTTTTTTTTCATAAACAAGTAGACTAAGAAATGTGCAATATTTAATAAAAAGTTATTTCTGATCTCTGTATAGTACGATCTGTCGGTCATTAAAGATATGCTATGTTTATCTTTGAGTAAAATAAACTTTCATTGTATAAATGTATTGACATCTATGAAATTCTTGATAAGTAAATCTTATTTCAATAAAAGAATATAGAAACTGTGTAAGGGGAGCTACATTGCCTATTATGGGTCAAGTAAAGATGGTTCTAAAAAAATTGCAAGTTTTTTAATTATTAATGGCACTATATATTCATATTATGACCACCCATAGTGTGTATAGTATGAACATAACATATATATTTTGTGTGAAGTCAAAACACGTTAATTTTATGTATAAGTAGAGACGGTGTAGTAATTATGAATATTTTCAAGTTTAAGATTTGAGCATAGTACATCTGCAACTGACTTTTAAAACAGATGCTTATCAAATATCACTTGGGACTTGAATTCTATTATTTGAGGAAACACTAATATCTTGTGTCAAGTTATGGTAAACCTATCTGTAGACATACAAGAGTAACCATAACTTGACACAAGATATTAGTGTAGACATACAGTTGCTGATAGGGACTTTGAGTCTATAAAGAGATATGTTGTTTTGTTTTGTTAATTGTTTTAACAATGTAAATCATGAAGTTAGACAAAGAAGCCCAAAGGGTACAGATCAATGTTATGTAAATCATGAATCATTTTGTTTACAACACATTTATGATGCTGTAAATTGCAATGTATTAATTTTTGAAAAGCAAAATAAAATTGATATGAATTTATGTCAATGTTTGCTGATTTCTTGGCCATAAAATTTTTGAGAAAGGGCTGATCCCCCAAGAGCAACAAAATAAAAGGTGAAAATTGCAGAATAGGTTCGGTTAGGTTGAGTCTGTTCATTGGAGATATGAAAATTGTGACATATGTGGTGTTCCCGGAGGAAAATATACATAAATGTATACTAAAAATGGGAAGTATGGGACAACCACTTACAAAGCTTAATAAACCAATAAATCGAAACAACTAATCGTTTAAAGGTAATCATCTCCTGAATCAATGTCTATCACAACTAAATTTGTTTACAATATCCATAGATGGTCTTCTTTTTAAAGTTTTGTTCACATTAGTTGGACCGATTTAAAGGTCAAGCGAATTAAATATTTTAATAAATTCCTATCAAGCAATGGCTGAATTATAAATTAAAATTGAAGATTACTATTGCATGTGAAAAAAAACCAAACAACCAAATTTAAGTGACGTGATTTGACATAATGGGACCGAAAATATTTTTCTTAACATTTATGTACCATTTGATGTAGGTCAGGACCAATAATTTGTGTGCAAATTTTCAGATTATAAGCTCATTCCGTTTTTTCAGAAGTTTTTTAATGGTAGAAAAAAGTGCATGGGTACAAGTTTTAAGGCATTTGCCTGAATATTAAAGATTTTTCTAGTCTTAAAAGCTCTTTTTTGCTATACAATGTATAAAGCCAATTGAAATAACACTTGATTCAAGATTTTCTGATACTTTTAACTTGCACCCATGAACGTGATACGCGTTAAATACTTTTGACACGAGCCAAGCATCACATGAAAAAAAGCTTCTTTTCTGATGATATATCTTTATCATAACATATCCAGTTTAAATGCCCTGGTTAGTATATGTAAGAAATTCAATTTTTATGTTATGAGGTTGTTTGAGTTTGATGTTTCTTTGACGGTATTGGACAAATGTCAATTAACTTCTTGAAGTTTTTGTACACAAATCTCACAGGAATCTTTATCTGTTTTCTACACGATAGAGCCTTTTGAAAATATGATCATTGTTTCCGAACTTTATTATTATCAATATATGATTTAACATAACACGGCTTTGATAGCTCGAATAAGCTCTGGTAGGTCAGAAAGAACGATCAAAGTGAGGATTACGGAACAGAAGACAACACCTATTGTTCCAACAACTTTTGCTGAGTCACGTTTGTCGTCAACACTTACTAATTTCCGTTCATTTACAGTAGTTGTCTTGGAATTGACTGTTAATTCTATCAACGCCTCCTCTATTTCTTCTTCAACTTCTTGAGTTGTTTTATTTGTACTAGTAAGACCAGCAATAAGTTTAGCTTGTTCACACGAACATGGACACCATACGGGTATTATAGAAGATGCGGTAATCGAAGATGCCGTTGTTTTAGTAGAGAGATCAATTGAACTTCGTAAATATTTTGTAGGTTTTAAAGTTTCACTTGTCAATTGGTTCGATGACCTCAATAAGTTGGACGGATATGGAGTTTTAGTTGTAGATATATCAGCTATACTGAACGCAGCTTTAGAAGAAATTATGAGCTTGCTTCCTGAAACGGGTCTATTTATCGAAGAAGATAAATATGCCACTGAAACGTTGAAAGTTTTAAGCATTAATATTGGCGAACATTAACAACAATGACGAAAATATGGATTAGATAAAATTCAGGTTTATCTAAAAATAAAGCACCCTAAAAGAAATAGAAACGAACCTTAGATTCTATATCTCTTTACATCAAGGATATTATAACTAATAAAATTATAATATTTAACGATTATTTCTAAAGAAAGTTGTTATGATTTATTCAAATAAAATAGTTAAAAATTAAAAGGTATTTTACTTCCGTAATACAGGAGAGTCGAATATTTTATTATTTTCCTACAATTAACTGACAGCAAAATAAGAAGAGTAAAGACTATAATATTTTTGAAAGAAAATACCTGTGCTTGAAGTTGCGAATCTTGAGGAAATCCAAGATGCTAGTGCAGGTTTACTAGTTACTGATGGGTTTGAACCTGAAAGAATGAATATTCACAATGATACTGTTTGGAATAATGCTTGATTAGCTTGAATATAGTTGAATAATGCGTAATATAGAGCAATAATGCTTTAATGTAGATGAATAAGGCGTAATATGGAATAGGCATTGTTGTATAACAAATTTTCACACTCACCATGACCATGTTATCAACATAGAAACAAAAAAATCAAAACTTAACTTAAAAAATACAAGTAGATTTCAGGATATATTATGTATTCGATAATTTAATTAATCTTAACTTCTTGTAATAAGAAAAAAAAGTTTTGTTACTTTGATATAAGAAATTGGTATTTACGATCAGTAGTACAAGTCTGTTGTATAGGAGAGCGAGATGAAGTTGTTGACTCACTCAGTATGTAGGTTTTTGTAAATATTGATGTTGCTAAATATGCTGTCTTTGAATGAGAAGAAATAAGGGAATTTGGTAAAAGACGAACGCAGGAAGATGGAGAAACGCCGGCATTTGTTGTTGATGCAAAATTTTCTGATGACGCAATTTGAGTAACACCAGAAGACTTTGCTGATCGCGACAATATTGATTGATAAGATCCATATGATAAAGTTGAAGGCGATACATTAGATAATGTAGGTATAGAACTGGTGCCATATAATGGCGTTGATTCAAAAGCAGTAGAATACGATGTTAACTGTGGAGCAAAAGAAGATGTCGATTTTGTATTACTCGAAGACGTTTCTGATTGTAGAACAATAGATGATGTTTTCAAGTGAGAACGGAGAGGAGAATGTATTGCAGACTGAGGCACGTCAAAAGATGTTGATAAATAGGGAAGGCTAGAACGTGTTGACACATTCTGTAGGTCAAAAGATGTTGGTAAATAGGAAACGGTAGTTGATGCTGCCAAGCGTGGTCTTTCAGATGATTTTGTTGAATATTGAACGCTTGAAGATGTTTCCAAAATACTGCCGTCAAAAGATGCTGATAGATACTGAACGATAGTGGATGTTGGCAGATGCTGTTTGGCAGTGCTGGAATATGTTTCCGACTGATGCAGTCCAGGAGATGTTGCTAAAAAGGGTACGCTTAAAGATAAAGCGAAATTAGGAACGACGGACGATGTTGTTGAACTCAGACTGCTTGACGATGTTCCCATATCAGAAGTGTCAGACGATGATTTCAAATTTGGAACGCTTGAAGATGTTGACGTATGAGACACTTCTAAAAATGTTATAAGATATGGAACGCTTGTGGATATTGGCCAATGTGGTTCGCTAGACGACGTGGTTAAATTGGGAATACTTGAATATGCTGATAAATGATTTATGTCAGAAGATGTTACTAGAGAGTGAACATTTGAAGACGTTGCCAAATATGGTATAGTTGACGACGTAGCAAGATAAGGAACGCTGGACGATGTTCCAAAGTGTTGTTTGTCAGAAGAAGTTGCCGAATATGGTGTGACTAATGACGCAGTTATATAAGGAATGCTAGATAATGTTACCAAATCTTCATCAGAAGATGTTACCAAATATGGTATGGCTGATGACGTAGTTATATAAGGAATGCTAGAAGATGTTCCAAAATGAGGTTCGTCAAAAGATGTTGCCAAATAAGGTATGACTGATGACGTAGTTAGGTAAAGAATGCTAGAAGATGTTCCTAAATGAGGTTCGTCGGATAATGTTGCCACATGAGGTTCGTCAGAATATGTTATCAAATCAGGAACGCGAGAGAATTTTGACAATAAATGTTCGTCAGATGATATTGTCAAATAATTACAGCATGAAGATGTTGATAATTGAGGTTCGTCAGAAGATGTTGTCAAATGAAATATGTTAGATGTCGTCAAGTACTGGACGTTAGAAGATGTCAATGTCGAAGTGCTAGTTGATGTCACTAATATATTACTGGTAGCAAAGGACACTAAATGAAGCAGATTAGAAGATTTTGTTGTATAAACGTCACTAGCTGTCAAATCAGATGGTGCAGAAAATGTAACTAGTTGGGGTGTAACGGATAAACTAGAATATATAGGTATATTTGATTGAGACACTTCATGCAGACTTGAAAACACTGACAAAATATATAAACCTGAAGCTGTTGATTTTGTTTGAAAAACTGATGATGATTCGCTCAATCCGACTTCATTCGTAGAAGTGTACAAAACTGAAGATTGGAGGATAAATGGTGAAGATGTAATCGTATTTAAGGTTTCGCCGACAAGGTTTGATGTTAACAAGTAGTTTATATCCATTGAAGTAGATATAACAATCTTTTTGGAAAGTGACGGCATCAATAAAGTCAAAATGTTAGAAAACGGGGGTTTTTGGTAAAAAAATGTTGATATTTTTCAGTTTTTTAATGTTGTGGGTTTAAAAAGGGTTTTTCCCTTTATTTAGCGTGCAATTCCAAAAAACTAAAATAATATTTTTTTTTATTTTCTTTTAAAAAAATGTGAAAAACGTTTTTTCTTTTTATTTCATGTTAAAAAGAATTTCAAGTAAATTTAATTAATTTAAAAAACAGGGTTTAATTTTCCTAAATCCTTTTAAATAAGAGGGTTCCCTTTAACTACACACTCACCCAAAACAAAAGGAAACATTTTATGTTATAGGATTAATCATTACACGAAATTTGTTACTTAAATTCAACACTTATTAAATAAATCTATTTGTCCATAGGGGGTTATTAATTTTTTAAAGGAGTTATTTAAAATTTAAAGTGAATTTAAAACTCATTTTTTATTTCATTTTTTGTAAAAATGATTTGATATAAAGGGCCAAAAATTTTTTTTGACATTGGATATTTTAAAAATTCAATAAAAATAAACTAAAAAAAATTATTTAAAAAACGGGCATCAATATAAAGAAATTTTTAAAAAGGGGGCACATAAAATTTTAAACATGAAAAAGAAAGAATTCTCAATTTCTAACGTTATTTGTGCATTATAGAAATTCTTTTATTACCGGAAACAACTACTTCACAAAATGATAATGTGTCTTCATTTCCGCCATGTTTTGATATACGGATATAATTTCCAAAAACCGGCGTACTACAGTTTACGACAACACTTGTTCCTGGCTCTAGTTCAATAGAAATGTAGGAACAATTCTGTTTCCCAGCATTCCAAGCAATTTGCCATCCTTCGTCACCGAAGTTTTCTAAGACATCAGCAACCCAACAAAAAATTTTTCTAATTTTTAAATTTTTCCGCTGAAAAATCACAAACAAAGCTTATTTTCTTTTTCAAAAAAAATTTTTTTTTGAAGCACCTCAATAAATCGTTAAAAAGGGCAAAAATCCGACACATTTTAAAAATTTTTAAATTTTTTAGAAAGCGAGTTTTAGAACATGGTTTTTTGTTTTCTTGATTATATTTTTCCATTTTTTTAAAAACGTAAAACCCTGATTTTAACATATCTCCCCAAAATTTTTGTAACCTTCCAATATGTAGCTTTACAATGGTACGTATAACATTTATCCATGGATCTTTTTTTTTTGCACACAAAAGCTCCCCAGGGACTGCACTGGTAGTAGCGGAGATCTGAGTAGAACCACCATGACCACCGACCTTTAGTAAACTAATTCCATAACTTCTTCATACCGTAAGCTGCAAGGACCAAGCGATTTGAATTCAGCGACCTTAACCATTTGGTCATGGATACCATATGAACATGTTCACAGCGTACACTCCATCGTCCACAGTGACTTCCGCTTGCGAGCGAAATATACACCGTAAAACGCAGAACAAGGCTGAAAAACAGGTAAAACATGTCAAAATAAATAAATCATTGGTTTATTTTACTTATATGTGTGGTACTGACATAAACTAAATTATTCATAATCAATATTCTAATGTGCAAGCATATATTTTCAGACAAAAATGCGGTTTTCTCACTCAGATTTCTCGAAAAAAATCAAAATTGTTTTGCATCAAACCGACGATTTCAAAGCTTTTAACCTAATATTTGAACAAATCTTTTTGATGCTATCGAGAATTATGTTCTAAGCACCAGAAAATTAAAAACTGTTATTTGTAAACGTCTTGGTTGCGAAAGTATTGACAATAAATTAGCAACTGTTGATGTTCCCTCACTGTACGGTTGCTTGCTACCTCTCTGTACGGTTGCTTATGAGGACTTGAAAAAAAACTGTACGGTTGCCTGGGAGCAAGCTACAAATTTTGTTACAATTAAAAACACAATTCTTGAACAGTTGGCCCATTTTAAAGGTAACAATGGCATTGGCCATGCATTTAAACCAAAATAAAAGTAAATGTGGGTTTAATAACTAATGTATGTCAAACTTTGTGATGGTAAATTGAGACTCTAATATATACTTTAAGTGATTGAATTTAACTGCAGTTAACGTACATGCATGTTTACATGACATGATGTTCAATGTATATTTAACGTTATTGTAACTTCTCTTTTTTGTAGGTTAATGCTAATCATGTACACATATATGTGCATCTATTGTGATTTAGAGTGTAAACAGTTTTGTGAATTAATAGATCATGTGATTATAAGACATCCTGACGAGAACCTGAAAATAAGAATTATATTATCAGAGGGGCAAAGTGTCAAGTCATAGCGATTTGACTGATTACTACTTTAGAATGTAAAATAAAAAGAAATAAAGTTAATGATTTTTATTATGTTTGGCTCTGTATGCCTATAGAGCACTGCTTTTTTGCTTTTTTTCTATTGCAGCAACAATATACTTTGAGAGCAAAGCGTAACATGCGCTAAAAGGAAAAGCGGAGAAATATCACAACCGGCATTGTCAGGAACGAGGAGTTCAACCTGTGCGAGAATATCATAGATTAAATGAAAATATTGATAACCGCAAGAAAAAAGATACGGTGGTTTGTCGGACATCTAATAATGACATACTGACAAAACTGTGCACTGACAATATTTTAATAAGTGTTTAAAAGAGTGAAACTATCTACGGAGTTTATTGAACGAGTGATGCAAAGGACTTTCTCCACAAGCAGAAAATGTGTCATGACTATGCTTTCACAGTAAACTATTTGAAGTCTAACTTAACTACGGTAGTTCTGAAAAATGATATGGATACAAGAATAATATTTTGACCTCAGTGAGTTAGAAGATACTTAGATAGTAGGGTGCTGTTTTATCAAGACATCGGTTGAAACCTGACTAGCTCATAGTTTACAAGATGGTACAATTAGCTATAATTTTTCCAAACATGTATAGGAAAATTTCATTGGGGCTTGAAAGCTGTTCATTTCTTAAGGCATATGGACATTTCAAACGGAATGTAAAAAGTTTGATAATGGACAACACCAATCTCCTACGCAGTGATCTCCCCTTACAGGATTGGCCTAGCGTAACCTAAACCTCTTCTCACTGGTGTCCCCGATAAATGTACCTACCGCTAACGGTGGGTCAATAGCGATTACCGTAGCGTAACCGGTGCACGGAGTTTGGGACAACAAGACAAAGATAAACCAGTGTGTCATGTTACAACCTAAGTTTTACATATTACTACAAAATGAGTCTTGCTGAAAATAAAAAAAAGTCATGCTTATATTATCAAAATAGTTTATTATTATTTAGAATTATTAAAGACATTAGAAAATGGTAAAAATGAATAAGTAAATGAATCACAGAAAATCAGATATGATCACAGTCTTAAAATAATGTCGAGTGTATCTGCTCAGCAATAACAAAATAAAATTAAAAAATATAAACAATAACTGTACATGTATACACGATGCAGAGATGAACTTTCTGTTGTGTAAAATTCAAATGTCTAAAAATAATTGTGATAATAATGAACAAGTTAACAAATTTATTGAGATCAGTAACATATACGCCGGTAAAGAGATGCTATATGTTTTATATGCTCTTTGAAAAATCAAAATAATTAACCATCTCTGCAACTATTTTAACATTGTATTTAGACGATATATAATGCCAATAAGCTCGCAAGCAACAGTTCAGTGACCTCGCAAGCAACTGGACGAATTGTTTTTCAGATTTAGCAAGCAACCGTACAATGAGTAAACTTCACCAGTGCCAGTTTATTGTCAATATTTTCTTAACCGATGTGTTCAAAACGGGTATTTCTTTTTTATTTGGTGCTAAAATAGTAGATCTTCAAAGCATTAAGTGGATTTGGTCGTATATTACATGGTAAGCTTTAAAAATCGTATTGAAATATGGTACCTGTTTTTCTCTCTACGGTGGCGTTTTCCGTGTACAGCTCGCTCGCAAGCGGAAGTTACCGTGGACGATGGAGTGTACGCTGTGATGTTTTAAACATTCGCGACAATTTTGCACGAAGCGTTACAAAAGTAGATTGGTCTTAACTTGTTACTTCTACATTTTCGAAATTTTTTTTTACAAATGGTGCATATAATAAATCACTTACGGCATGTTTTACATGACTCTGGTTTTGTAATAGTAACGGAAGAAACCGGATAACTATTGTCAAGTTGAACTTGCCACCAGGGGTCCTCCTCATTTACCGTTTGTGCGCATGAACCGGAAATAGATCCTGATCCCAATTTTTGGGCCCATCAACTGCTTTTTTCAAGCCGAGAATGGACAAATTCCCCGTTAAAAACCGAAATAAATTTTTTTCAATGAAGGTTCTGGGGAATGAAAAACCCAAAAATGAAAGAATAAAATTGTTTTTTAATACAGTTTTTTTTAATAGATAAAAAAAGGGGTATTTAAATGTCATTCTGTTTTGTGTAAATTAAATTTCAATTTCGGGAAAAAAAAGAAATCACAGAAAGAAACAGTATCCCCAAAGCAAAAAACCCTTAAAAGTTGAAATTTTTTATAAAAAAAAGGGGCAGAAATTTCCCCGTTCCCAAATGAATACACAGCCGGTGTGTAAGAATCAATTGATTCGGGATTTCTTTGCTTGGTGTCATCTAATATTATCAGAGCGGCAACAATTTGTCCTTGCTTGGTGTCACCCAATATTGCTAGAACGGCAACAATGTGTACATGTAGAAGCTATAACAATATTAACAATAAACACATACCCTTGATAAGTACTTGACTGCCATACATCTAAAACCGGAAGTGATGATGTCACGCATTGATTGCCCAGGCCTGAAAGATCACGAGATAGATAGTGGTTGTGATTGTCAATATTATTATGATTTTCATTTGATGGAAATAATGATGATGATGAAAAAAAGGGAAAAGGTGATGATGAGGATGATGATAAAAAAAATGATGACGATTATGATAATGGTGAATTGATGATGATTATGTTGATGATGGTGATGATGAATTGGTGATGATGATGAACTGATGATAATGATGTTGTTGTTGTTGATGATGATGATGTTGGTGATGGAAAATAAAAGGAAAAAGTTTTGGTGAAAAACGACGATGGTTTTAAAGGGCTTTTTGAAGATTGTCAAGGAAAAAGTTACCTTTACAAAAACCAAAAAATTTGCAAAAAAGTTGAAATTTCCCAAAAATTCCAAATATCAAAGGTTTTCATATCTTATTCTTTACCGTTCTTTGAACAACTTATTGCTACTTTTCTAGTTACTGTCTCGTTAAACACTGCAGAATTTTAATGCAGCCAATTAGTCGATAAAGACAAAGTGTCTTCTCGGTCCTTTAATGTTTACCGGTGCAAACCAATAAGATTAATGCTATCTATAATTGATTAAGAAGATTTTTATAACTTTCTTTCAAGTCGTAGAATAGGAATCAATGTTGCTCTGTTTATCATTAAAACAATAAAAATGAAGTTAAAACGATTTGTTAAATGAAAGCTTCCTGCAATTTCATTAGAAAGATAACTCCTTTTTACAATTGTGACCTTACAAATAATTCACAATTCAGATAAAAACGCCACTAGATTGCTTTGATAAAAAGTTCTATTTTGGAAGATAAATACATTTTTAAAGAGAAAAGTTTCACGAAATTGATTAAAATTTATCAACCGAAAATGGACCATCGAATTAGAAGTTAACATGTAAAAGACTGATTAGAAGAAACAAACTAATCAAACTGCTGTGGAATAAAGATACCTTTTTTTAATTTGTCATATCTACTTATTTTGATAGTAAGCCATTAAAGTAATAAATTTGTTATTGAATTGGTTAAAATAAAACATTTTGCCATAATTGTGTTTAATTCTATGTTTAACTATGAAAAAATTATCAATAACCCGCGTGACCCATAAAAATGTCTATATATATATCGTTCTTAAAAAATGAGCCGTGCCATGACAAAACCAACATAATGGGTTTGCGACCAGCATGTATCCAGACCAGCCTGCGCATCCGCGCAGTCTGATCAGGATCGATGCTGTTCGCTATCAGTTTCTCTACTTGTTCCATGCTGGTCGCAAACCCATTATGTTGGTTTTGTCATGGCACGGCTCAAATCATTAATTTGGCAGCTCTAGTTTTAGTATTGTATAATAGATATTTTTCATATTATAATAGCCAGTCACTGATTCAACTCATCTCTCATCTCGACAGCGAAAACATGAGCTTATATAATGTCACTTTAAGTTCGTGTATTTAAGAAAGTGTCAGAGAAATAGCACGTGCTTAAGCCGAATGGTACACTTAATGAACAAATATTCATTTAGGGAACAAAATTATAACATATTCCATAGCCCTTTGAAATACCTTTATATAATACAAGTATATTTTTAATCAAATAACCGTAGAGCTTCGACATTCCGTGGGTTCAAACCCACGTTACGGCCAGGCCATTGTTTCCTTGAGCAAGAAACTTATGAATTGCAAAGATTCCAGAAACGGATTCGAGAGTGTTCCATCACAATCGAACTAAAACAAATTCGTGTAAATATTTTTTTTTCTGAAACCGCCTAGTGGTTAAAATATGATACACATGTACCCAACTATGCAGCAACGATACTACAAAAAAAATAGCTTAACCAAAGGAAACACATTTTTTTTACGGATGTACATTTAATTTTTTCTTTGACTGCGCATGCGTTACAGCAGATGTTGAGCACGTACCTTGGCAGGAACAATTTCGTTGAGCATTTTATATGTGCTGCACATTTCCTCCAACCTCTTTTCAATATAAACGAAAATGCCCAGTCGAATATGACTATTCATAATTGTCCAAAAGTAAAACAGTAAATTAATGAAATTGTCTGTCTTAAAGGAACTCCATCGAGGTACAAAGGCCTAAAACATAAAAGCTGAAAATCTCACATAGATCAATGAAAGATATGCCAAAGGTAATAGAGAAATATACTCAGGTATAAATTTAAGATTATATTGTGTGCTATCCATATCACGGTTTGAGTGAAAAGCGTTTAAACGCTTTTCACTTTTGGGTCATTTTTCACAATAAAATAATTATTCTTAAAAAAAAACTCGGAGTGATCGATTGAATTGAAATTGTGCACACAAGTTATTGGTCTAAACCTACTGTACATAAAACGATACATTAATCTCAAAGCTATTTCAAGTCCTGTCATGTTAAAAAGATCTCAGCTGAGTCCCTTTAATGTTTAATGCAATCAAACTTTTTTCTGCTATCGAACTTCATGGTTACATTTTCATTTTAAGAACTTCTTGACGTGACTAGATAGATATTTTTCACGTTCCAAATGGATAATAAATGACTGTAAAGCTGTTTTATGTTGTTTTTTTTGTTACTGTCATTTTGTTGTTGGGTATAACATCGCACCAACACAATTTATGTCATATGGCGACTTTCTAGCTTCACTGGCTGATGCCTACAGCGATGAGGACCGAGTGGCAAGTGGTTTGAAATGAACGATCTTAACCACTCGGTCACACGGCTATTGCATGTGGTTTTTTTTGCATGTTTTAATGTGAATGGTCAATTACGTTTTAAGTTTTTTCGATTGACTTAATTAAATTAGCAATAGAGATTTGTTGGCAATTATAATGTTTCGAAGGATTATAAGGTGACAAAATGGACATTATCTAGCAAAAGAATATTGGTTTCTGAAAAGAAAAAAAATGCACAATTTAATTTACCTTATGACTTTAATCATACTAAAAGAATACCTTTAAATTGCCATCCAAAGATAATACAATATGCATGTATTAGGTTTTTCTTCAAATAACAATAACAACTTTGCAACGCATGTATATTCAACGTCTTCATCATTTTGCAGTTGCTAAAATAACCTCTCGTATGCAAAATAACTCTCATATGCAAAATAACTCTCGTATGCAAAATACCTCTCGTATACAAAATACCTCTCGTATACAAAATACCTCTCGTATGGCTCAAAGAGGTTTTCTTGTTTCCTCCATTATGTTTGTAAAGCTTCTGTCGCACTGGATCAAACAAATGAATTCGGTATAAGTAAATAAATTACCAGAAAACAATGGTAACGCCGACACGATCAAAACCATTCATTACGTCACACAATGTAACAGCATATGACTAAACGAGAAAATTTATTGTATATTTGAACATTAACAAACTTTTTTTATCTTTGGTCTCAAGGCACGTACATATCTATTTCAATTATTTTCTTAATAGCTTTTTTGAAATTGTGACATTCAAATACCGAATGACGTAGAAAAAAAATGTACGTAAAAAAAAGACATTGTATATAATGTAGGCCAATATCTCCGACATTTAAGGTTATTGACCCATTTTTAAACGTGATGTTATTGAACGGAAGTGATAAAGATTGTTTGTTTGCTTCGTTTTACGCCTTTTTCCAACAGTATTTCAGTCATATAGGCGGGTAGTTTCCTAACCATCGTTCCTGGAGAGTACACCAGTATTAGACTACCTTCCTCCGTGCTAAACTACCAAAGCATCTCGCGGGGATCGAACCCACGCCAGAGAAGTAACTGGATAAGAAGTCATCGACTCTAACCCCTCGACCACGGAGACGGTAGGAGTGATAAAGTACAAATAATAAAAAAAAAATATATTCTTTAAAGCCACCATGTTAACATTTTTATTGCTCTAAATTAGTTATCAATGTTTTTTCATCAATGCCGAACAATTCTATGATTATACCCTATACCGAAAATTAAAAAAGATCTTTAAATTTAATTTATTTCGAACAATTTCACGGAAATTGAAAAAAACAAATCCATCACTTACAAAGACATGAATTGTTAAAGAAGGATTTAACCCACTCAGGTATAAAACTATTAAAGTAGTAACTATTTCGCTTTGATGGGATACTTAAACATTGAAACTGTATTTGTTCATGAAAATTAATTTTCGTAATGAATAAAATGTACAAAGAAAAACCATTATACAATTTACGTTTGATCATCACCGCCTGTAGGACTGGATTTTAATACTAATTATTTTGAATTAAAATTTATTTATTCAAATAATTATATATATTGAAGTAAGTAAAGTAACAGTACAATACACAAGTAACATTATCGTGTGATGATGAATAGATTTTTTACTCAATTAGATAATTACAGTCTCTATCATAACACAGTATTGTAATTTTTTTTAGATTTGCTAAGTTGGTGGTTTTGATGCACGAGACTATATGAGCTTGTAGCAAGGTACGTGTCAATCACGTGGGATCATTCTTCAGTAGAGGTGTCACGGTTAGAAAAAATGCTGACCGTTTAAACATCCTTAGAATCTCATCATAAACTTTGTTTTTTTGTGACAAGATATGCCATTTTGTTCATATTTTGTTGTACTCAAAATAATATCAATACATATCCGAATATGGAGTTACTATTTTCCGCTAGGGTCGAGTACAACTAAAATGCAAACACCTGTCATATCTTGTCATAAAAATTCTAAGGTTATATTAAGAAACAATTTAGAACTTTCCGCCTCATAGTCAAATACTATGACATCCATTTTCTTCAGTGTTCACAAAGCTTTTTATATCATAATACAATTGGAGATGAATATGTTATAACAATAATAATGATAATAATAGTAATAATAATAAAATAATAATAATAATAACAGTAAATAACACTAACGACATTAGAAAATATTTATTGAACGAGACATGTAAAGTATAAATCACATTTTATCGGATATCCTGGGTGAGTCAAAGGAAATATTTTGTTGATCCTGAGTCAATGAGATATACATGTACATGTATATGATAAATGTTTGCTATTTGGTTTCTGTCTTTTGTTTTTACAAGTTATGATTTAACAGTTTATAATTTAGCAGTTATGTTAAAAACAAAATTAGTGAATACAATATTATATTTCATGGCCCTTCTGTTTTTCCTCACAGTAGAATCCTGTTGACAGCTATATTCCATCAACCATTTTTTCACGTAGAATGTCATTTACATAGAAATGTACAACATGTGTAGTGATGTTTTATTTCCGGCATCTATACGAAATATAAACTGTTTCGTCTCTCTGAAAATAAAGTTAAAATGTGGTAAAGTTGGTAGTTTAAATATGTGGTAAAGTTGGTAGTTTAAATATGTGATAAAGTTGATAGTTTAAATATGTGGTAAAGTTTGGTAATTTAAACATGTGATAAAGTTGATTGTTTAAATATGTGGTAAAGTTAGTAGTTTCAATATGTGGTAATGTTGATAGTTAAAATATGTGGTAAAGTTGGTAATCTAAATATGTTTAATAGTTGGTAGTTTAAATATATGGTAAAGTTGGTAGTCTAAATATGTGGTAAAGTTGGTAGTTTATATATGTGGTAAAGTTGGAAGTATGAAAAGGTGGTACAGTTGGTAGTGTAAATAAGTGTTTTAATTGGTAGTTTAAATATGTGGTAAAGTTGGAAATCTTAAAACATGGTAAAGTTGGTAGTTTAAACATGTGGTGAAGTTGGTAGTCTAAATATGTGATAAAGTTGGTAGTTTAAATATGTAGTAAAGTTGGTAGTTTAAATATGTGGTAAAGTTGGTAGTTTAAATATGTGGTAAAGTTGGTAGTTTAAATATATGGTAAAGCTGGTAGTTTAAATATGTGGAAATGTTGGTAGTCTGAATATGTGATAAAATTGATAGTTTAAATATGTGGTAAAGTTGGTAGTGTAAATATGTGGTAAAGTTGGTAGTTTAAGTATGTGGTAAAGTTAAAAGTTTAAATATGTGGTAATGTTGGTAGTTTAAGTAGGTGGTAAAGTTAATAGTTTAAATATGTGGTAATGTTGGTATTCTGAATATGTGGTAAAGTTGGTAGTTTAAATATGTGGTAAAGTTGGTAGTCTAGGAATGTGGTAAAGTTGGTAGTTTAAATATGTGGTAAAGTTTGTAGTTTAAATATGTGGTAAAGTTGGTAATCTTAAAACATGGTAAAGTTGGTAGTTTAAATATGTGGTAAAGTTTGTAATCTCAATATGTGGTTAAGCTGGTATTGTAAATATGTGGTAAAGTTGGTAGTTTAAATATGTGGTAAAGTTGGTAATCTTAAAACATGGTAAAGTTGGTAGTTTAAATATGTTGTAAAGTTGGTAGTTTAATATGTGGTAAAGTTCATAGTTTAAATATGTGGTAAAGTTGGTAGTCTAAAAATGTGGTAAAGTTGGTAGTTTAAATATGTGGTTAAATTGGTAGTTTAAATGTGTGACAAAGTTGATAGTTTAAATATGTGGTTATGTTGATAGTTTAGATATGTTGTAAAGTTTGTTGTCTCAATGAGTGGTAAAGTTGTAAGTTTAAACATGTGGTAAAGTTGGTAGTTTAAATATGTGGTAAAGTTGGTAGTTTAAATAGATGGTAAAGTTGGTAGTTTAAATATGTGGTAAAGTTAATTATGTATGTGGTAAATATATCTAAGAATGTAAATTAAAATGTGACACAGTATGAATGTAAATATTTGGCAACGTGTGATGAAAGTTAAATTGTGGCAAGAGATATAGGTTCAAATGTGGCAAAATATAAAAAAAATAAGTTAAAATGTGTCAAAGTACGCAAGTCATGTTTGTAAGTTGAAATAAGGTTAAGTATGTAAGTTAACAGTTGGCAATGAAGTTATGTTTAAAAAAGGCAAAGTATGCAAGTTAAAATGTGGTAAAATTTGAAAAGTTAAAATGTTGTAAATCATATAAGTTAAATGTGTGCAAAGTGTGTAAGTTAAAATGTGGTAATTATGTAACTTAAAAATATGGTAAATTATGGAAGGTAAAAGTGGTAAAATATATAAGTTAGAATGCAGTAAAGTATGTACGATGCATAGTAAAACATGTTCTTTGAAGTGGCTGGTTGATGAAATTCATATAAGAAGAAGAAAGAAAGAAAGAAAAAAAGAAAGAAAGAAAGAATATTTGTATTGACGTGAAAAGAGAAGATGACTTACCAACAGGAGTGAGAGATCTTCCACCTGTAAAGAAACAAACAGACTTTCAATACACAGTAAGAACGTATTTATTACTGTTTAAACCCCTTGAAGTATTGTAGAAATTAACAGTTAAATCAATCAATAAATTAATTAATTAATTAATTAATTAATTTATTAAGCAATTGATTTTATCGTCAATAAATTAATTCAATTCTTTAGTTATGTTGATTTATAAATACATCGATTAATAATCATGATAATAAATTAACAACAAATATATGTTTTAATAATTATAATGATAACAATAATAATAATAAATCAACAACGAAAATATTTTTTACTGCCAAATTAACATAAGTAATTCGGACTTAATGAAAAGTTGCTTTTAAAGGACTCAATAAATATTTTCATATAACATTTAAGTTAGATTTATATAAATCAGACAACGTTTGAAATTGGACGTGGTTTTTATTTGCAATTACGGTCACCTAATAGACAGAACTTGCATCTATTTATAAGAAAACTTAGTTGATAATATGATGTAGAAGATAATTCACAAACCTGGTACGCTGGGATGAGAATGGAATTGTTGTGATCGTGGTGGTTGGCTATTTTCTACAGGAGTAGAATCGTCCACCATGTTGAAATCGCTCTCCGAGTCCTGATCACTTTGTCTCCTGTATTATATATAACTTAGTTATCTCAAACCCCCAAATTTGTATAATCAATTTGTCCTGTTTTGAATTTGGCAATGTCTCTAGCTTTTTTATGGGGTGTCAATATCAGTGAATTGTTAAAATGAATCACGCATGTGCAGATTGGCAGGACTTAAAACTATGCTTATTTAAAATAAACGCGTGAAATTCAGTAACTTATTATTTGAAATCAACCAAAATCGTGATACAAGTCAAATATAGATGTATACATTATGATTTAATACTGTCACAATTATACAAAACAATTTGAAGAAGAAGATGAAAAAGGTACAATGGTTACCATACCTATTTCTGGCAGCTTGGATTTTTGGTTTACAACCTCTAATTTTCCTCAAGAAAAAGATCAGACTTCCTACGGCAGCGAATACAAATGGAATCGCACTTAAACCTGCATACTTTTCAAGATTATTGCTGGAATCTGACGACTCCTCAGATTTCGATGCTGCTTCGGTACCGAGCAATACTTGTAATGGTGAAGAAGAAGTAGGCGAGGTTGTTGATGTTAAAGTAGAAGTCGGCGGAGTTCTCGCTGTTGAAGTAGAAGTCGGCGGAGTTGTTGTTGTTGAAGTAGTAGTCGGCGGAGTTGTTGTTCTTGAAGTTGTAGTAGGCGGAGTTGTTGTTGTTGAAGTAGTAGTAGGCGGAGTTGTTGTTGTTGTTGTTGAAGTAGTAGTCGGCGGCGGCGGAGTTGTTGTTGTTGAAGTAGTAGTAGGCGGAGTTGTTGTTGTTGAAGTAGTAGTAGGCTGAGTTGTTGTTGTTGAAGTAGTAGTAGGCGGAGTTGTTGTTGTTGACGTAGAAGTCGGCGAAGTTGTTGTTGTTGAAGTAGTAGTAGTCGGCGGCGGAGTTGTTGTTGTTAAAGTAGTTGTGGGTGGAGTTGTTGTTGAAGTCGGCGGAGTTGTTGTTGTTGAAGAAGTAGTAGACAGAGTTGTTGTTGTTGTAGTAGGCGGAGTTGTTGTTGTTGAAGTAGTAGTAGGCGGAGTTGTTGTTGTTGAAGTAGTAGTAGTCGGCGGCGGAGTTGTTGTTGTTGAAGTAGTTGTGGGTGGAGTTGTTGTTGTTGAAGTCGGCGGAGTTGTTGTTGTTGAAGTAGTCGGCGGCGGAGTTGTTGTTGTTGAATTAGTAGTAGGCGGAGTTGTTGTTGTTGAAGTAGGAGTCGGCGGCGGAGTTGTTGTTGTTGAAGTAGTTGTGGGTGGAGTTGTTGTTGTTGAAGTCGGCTGAGTTGTTGTTGTTGAAGTAGTAGTAGGAGGAGTTGTTGTTGTTGAAGTCGGCGGAGTTGTTGTTGTTGAAGTAGTAGTAGGAGGAGTTGTTGTTGTTGAAGTAGTCGGCGGCGGAGTTGTTGTTGTTGAAGTAGTTGTGGGTGTTGTTGAAGTCGGCTGAGTTGTTGTTGTTGAAGTAGTAGTAGGAGGAGTTGTTGTTGTTGAAGTAGGCGTAGGCGGAGTTGTTGTTGAAGTAGTTGTGGGTGGAGTTGTTGTTGTTGAAGTAGTAGTAGGCGGAGTTGTTGTAGTGGGCGTTGTTGTTGAAGTAGGCGTAGGCGGAGTTGTTGTTGTTGAAGTAGTAGTAGGCGGCGAAGTTGTTGTTGTTGAAGTAGGCGTAGGCGAAGTTGTTGTTGTTGAAGTAGTTGCGGGTGGAATTGTTGTTGTTGAAGAAGTAGTAGACAGATTTGTTGTTGTTGAAGTAGGCGGAGTTGTTGTTGTTGTAGTAGTAGTAGGCGAAGTTGTTGTTGTTGAAGTAGTAGTAGGCGAAGTTGTTGTTGAAGTAGGCGGAGTTGTTGTTGTTGAAGTAGTAGTAGTTGGCGGAGTTGTTGTTGTTGAAGTAGTAGTAGGCGAAGTTGTTGTTGTAGTAGGCGGAGTTGTTGTTGTTGTTGAAGTAGTAGTAGAAGGCGGTGTTGTTGTTGTTGAAGTAGTAGTAGGCGGAGTTGTTGTTGTTGAAGTAGGAGGAGTTGTTGTTGTTGAAGTAGGCGTAGTTGTTGTTGTTGTTGTAGTAGGCGGAGTTGTTGTTGTAGTAGGCGGAGTTGTTGTTGTTGTTGAAGTAGGCGGAGTTGTTGTTGTTGTTGAAGTTGTAGTAGGCGGAGTTGTTGTTGTTGAAGTTGTAGTAGGTGGAGTTGTTGTTGTTGTTGAAGTAGGCGTAGGCGAAGTTGTTGTTGTTGAAGTAGTAGTAGGCGGAGTTGTTGTTGTTGAAGTAGAAGTAGGCGGAGTTGTTGTTGTTGAAGTAGTAGTAGGCGGAGTTGTTGTTGTTGAAGTAGTAGTAGGCGGAGTTGTTGTTGTTGTTGAAGTAGGCGGAGTTGTTGTTGTTGAAGTTGTAGTAGGCGGAGTTGTTGTTGTTGAAGTAGAAGTCGGCGGAGTTGTTGTTGTTGTTGAAGTAGTAGTAGGCGGAGTTGTTGTTGTTGAAGTAGTAGTAGGTGGAGTTGTTGTTGTTGTTGTTGAAGTAGGCGGAGTTGTCGTTGTTGAAGTTGTAGTAGGCGGAGTTGTTGTTGTTGAAGTAGAAGTAGGCGGAGTTGTTGTTGTTGAAGTAGTAGTAGGCGGAGTTGTTGTTGTTGAAGTAGTAGTAGGCGGAGTTGTTGTTGTTGACGTAGAAGTAGGCGAAGTTGTTGTTGTTGAAGTAGTAGTAGGCGCAGTTGTTGAAGTGGGCGTTGTTGTTGAAGGTGTAACTCCGACATACAATGTCAATGTTGCAGATTCACTTTGACCATCGTTATAACAAGTTACTGTTATTGTAAATATTTGGTCATCACTAAGCTCTTTTTTCTTTGCCCTTATTTCATCACCTATAAAATAATCTGTAAACTGTACAACAATTTTTATATATCGTATATTGAATAAAATTATGATGGTTTATGTTCTTTTTTAATTTTTTGTAAATGAAAATTGATATGTGTTGATTAAAGTATATTGGAGGGATTACCATTGATTACATATCACCCCGAGTTAGAACAAACAAACAAAAAATCGAAATTTGTAAAAATGTCATTTTCATTTAAATTCTGCCGATGTTCTGGGTTTACCGATCAAAGAATCGGGACACATTTGTGTGTGAGCGCCACATCTATTTATTTAAGTATTTATCATACAATTTTTGCATACAATGTTTGTGATAAATATTGCCACGCTTTAAATGTTTTACTTAATTTATGTTAACCATCAATCAATACGGAACACCATGCCGGTTATTCATAACCATCTCGGAAATCATAGCCAACCTAAAAAGTTGAGATTGTCATCATTAAAACGGGTAAACCGAGTCAATTTCCTTAGAAAAGCGTTTGAACGAACAAGATTGATGATCCTGGTTGCACTGATGCTCTATGAATTATATATAGGAGATATTGCGAGTTTCCACGAGTTGACGTTTATTGTACACGTTGTAATCAGTTAAAAGAAATAAAAATAATAATACGCACCTACAATCAGAATCTGTTTATTGCTTTCAATATCACAAAAACTATTGATAGAAGTTGAGCAGCCATTGGATATATCCAGTATATACAGGGACATAAATCCGTTACTTTCTGTTGTTGTATCAAGGCTTATCGTCATGGGAAGGTTGTTGAAAATCGGCGCCTTAAAATAAAACAATGTACATTGCTCAATCATAAGTGAGGCTTTTTCTACATTTCAGAAATATGGCGAAGTTATAAAAAAGTTCCATACATTTATATAATTATGATACCTGACTTACAGATATTGAAAATTGGGGAACCCTTGCAATGACATGTTTAAAGGGTCTCTGGATTTTTGTATAACTAGATGTATGTCTAGACCAATAACTCATGTACAAATTTTCACATCATTCGCTCACTCCGTTTCCCAGAAATAATCAATTTTATTGTGCAAATTGGCCTAAAAATGAAAACCGTTGCAACGCTTTTCATCCAAATCGGTCAAAAATCGCATGAAAATCGATTATCAATTTAATACCCGTTATATTTATATATCATCTATTGTTTGGTTTCAAATTTAAGTGTACCACTTGATTTAAGAAAAAAAAATCAAAATTTATTATTTTAGGTTTGGACCTCTGTGGAGTTCCTTTAATAGAGAATGCAACATTAATATACTCAATTACTTGGTAGCGTCCATGGTTTGACATTTTATGCCTCGTTTTCTATAAAAGGTCGAGGAATACAAAGAAATCCACGAAATGTTTGCAAGTGTTGTAGAAACTCTACAAAAAGTGGAGGGGTGGGTATAGGCTGCGACAATTTGTTCCTCAACAAGTTTATTTCATACAATTACAACATAAAATTTCGCGGACTTTAAAGTTGCCCGCGACCTTTTATAAACTGACGGTAAAATTTCTCACGGGTTTAAAATGTATAAAACAGGGACAGTAAAATAATAGCAATATTTGAAATATATCCACCATTCTATTCATGTTTTATATTTACCGTTTCAATAATATTAAGAGTGAGTGTCCCGGATGTTGATGCTGCATCCTGGTCGGTAGCAATAAAGTTGAGAATATGTTATTCCCCAGGTGTGAGACATGTTGTGACGAGTAGTTGTTCTACAAGAAAATAATTCAATAACAAACTTCATAACTTTAAATTTGAAGAGATATACCTATAAACTACTTTCACTGATATATGTCAGCTTAACATTGGCTTTATTTCATTTACAACCGAGTATTTATGCAAGTATTCGCAGTGCTAAATCTATAGTTAATAATAATAAATTCACAGTCTTGCAAATTGTCAAATATTGCATTAAAATCGTATTTTTTAAACATATAATTTAGGTAAGGGTGGAGTGGAATATCATGATCAAGAAAATTAGACAACTTGTACGCATTACGTTTTCCTGTCACGTAACTCGAATTACTTTCCCTGATAGTCTATTATAACTTGTAATGCAACGAAAGATTTAGAATAATAATCATCTTCCCAGTTTAAATTTAGATCCTATTTTAACCGTTTATTATCAACTTCCTAATTCTTAAATCAAGGTGACAAAAATAATCTGTGTGGTCAATCAGTACAGATAACTATGGCGATCTGGTTCAAAACTTGTTATGTGCATAATCCAAACCATCCGTGGGGTAAATGATATTGTTAATCAAGTTTTCATATTGAAAGTCAATGTGATCAATTAGTTTAAAACGATCATAAGAGGGTAAAAAATTCAACGTATTGAAACCCGGCATGATATTTAACCAAAATATATTCTGTGTTAGAAAAAAACCCACATATTATGTTATAATATAAAAAAAAGAAACAATGTATTAAACTTATACAAAAATGCTACTGCAACCAGGTGTACAGGAACAAAAACTGAATGTTGCATGAATTGACAAACATTTAATTTCCTACGCAGCTTTAGAAGAACTATGTCAATGAATTTTGACACGTCGATACTTTGTAAATATGATCAATGTTTGTCAATACATAAATATAATAAACCACTGACAACAAAACCAATCGTATTGCTTAATTGATAATGATATTGTATCTAAAAATGTTAAAACTTTATCAAAGTTAGAAAATCACAATATAAATACTATCATTTGAATTAAACCGTATTTGTTGTATTCTCATAGATATTTTACAGGACATGTCTTGAAAGAGTCCTGTACATATTCCCCGAATCCGGATAATTTACTTCCCGTTATTTCGTGAACCCGGACAACTCCCATTCTTTTTATGTTCTGATCCCGGAAAACTCACTTCCCGTTATTGCCTTAACCCTGACAATTCCCTTCCCGTTATATCCTGAACACTGACAATTCCCTCAAGATATTTTCGGAACCCGGGCAACCCCCTTCCCGTTATTACCTGAACCCGAATAACTCCCTTCCTGTTATTTTTTGAACCCGGACAATTCCCTTCCCATTATTTCCTGAACCCTGACAATTTCCCGGACATATCACTTCCGGTTATTTCCTGAATTCTTACAATTTTCTTCCAGTTATTTCCTGAACCCGGATAATTTTCCTCCCGTTACTTTCTGAATCCCCGTTATTTTTTTAACCCTGACAATCTCCCTTTTGATTTTCTTTTAACCCGGACAATACCCTTTCCGTTATTTCCTGGACGCGGACACTCGGACCCGGACAACTTCCTTCCCATTATTTCCTGAACCCGGACAATGCCCTTCTGGTTACTTTCGGAACCTGGACAATTCACTTCCCCTTTTTTTCTGAACCCGGACACTCTCAGTTATTTTCTGAATTCCCTTCCGCTTATTTACGGAACCGGGACAGTTCCCCTCCCGTTATTTCCTAAACCCGGACAATACCCCTCCCGTTATTTCCTGAACCCAAACACTTCCTTTCCCGTTATTTCCTAAACCCGGACAACTCACTTCCCACTATTTCCTGAACTCGGACAATTCTCTTTTTTTAACCCCAGAAAATTCACTTCCCGTTTTTTTCCTGAATCCGGATAAATTTCCTCCCGTTACTAAATGAAACCGGACAATCTCCCATCCGTATTTTCTGAACCCGGACATCTCCCTTCAAGTTACTTTCGGAACCAGGATAATTTTCTTCCTAATATTTTCTTTTACTGTTCCTAAACCACAAAAAATCCCTCCCCCGTTGTACTGAATCCGGACAACGATTTTACTGTCATTTTTGTAACTTTATATCCTTCTTCTTACTTATAACACTAGACAAGTATATATTATTGACTTAAGTATATTTGTATTGAAAGAAGAATTCGTTAAGGGGTATCCAAGTGCTAATCTTTTAACGACCCACTCTACACTCAACCCCCACCCCCTAATTAATATCGTTGCATAAAAAAGGAACTTTAAGTGGTTCAACTTAATTCTTTTTTTAAAAAGTTGAGTGCACATACTTGACAAGAGCTTTTAGCCATTCTATAGTTCAAGTATTTTAATGAACATAACATTTCATGGATATGTCATAAATATATATTTTGTTAATTGCTTTATTTGATATAAATCTCTAATGACTTTACTCATTTAGGCATTTACTTGTATTTACACTCGTCACTTAATATAACAAAAGAGAAGTCATAAATTATCGTAAATGTGGATACGATTAAAGTGAATGTTGAAAGAAAAAAATGACTATAGACCAATTTTTGTATTGAATGATTCCCATTTATCATGTTGAACCATTCACATGTATTGGGCAGTCATCGCAATATAAAATATATTTTATATGACCATACTGTGAATATCCATTTATCTGAACATTGTTGAACATAGGATGTTTATCCCGTACTAGAATTTTGGCTTATTTTTTTCTGATTACAGATGGTCAAGGTCACCACCTTTAAACTCTCCGTTGATCATTTCATTTTCTAATTGATCTTATTTATTATATACTTATCAATGAAATATTGAGAAATATGTATTAATGAAATAAAATGAGTATTTTGATTTTCTATATTTTCACTGTAAAAATTATTGCAAATAAGTTGTATGTTTATTATGTACTCTTAATATGTTATCTTCTCAAAATAAAGTTATTATATGTATTATCATTATATTTTTCTGTATTTTCACTGTAAAAATTTAGTTTTCACTGCAGTGAAACATATTTTCCGTATTTTCATAGGTGTCTTGCCCGACTACTTTCTTCTAAATTCTGCCAATACACATAATTTAACAGAAATTCATCCAAATTGTAATGCCAAAATAAAAATGTATATAATTAACGGAAAATTCAAGTTTTTTTTCTCTAAATACAAGATTATATATTCATTTTGTGGTATGGAAATAATCATATTTCACTCGTGGCTACCGTCACTCTTGAAATATTTATTTTTTATATACCACTCGATGGAAATTAATACTGTATTTAGAAAAGAAACCTTAAATATTCTCTATTTAACTTTGTTATTATTTTTTTATTTTTATAGTTTTCATAATTGAACAAATTATCTTTATTATACATGTATTAACGTTCAAGTGTTACCGGGGTATTATAAACAAGCGTTTTTTCATGTAAATGTACAATACTGTTGGTGATGTTTAAATTCATTTATAGCATATAAATTCCTGGGCTTCCAAACATATAATTAATGATAACTTTGTTACATACATAATAAATGCATATTAAAGCAGCACGTCTCCAGATTCATGCTAATTTTCATGAAAATTTTGAAACTGTAATAAAACATTGAATATTGTGAATTAAACAAAGTCATATTTTTTTATATTGCAAGCAGCATTGACAAACCGTGTAAATTACCAAAAAAGAGGCAAAAAACATGCAAAAATATTCCTTACTTCGTTAGTCACGCAGTAAAAATATGGTGAAAAATACTGCAAAATCATTGATAATCGTTCATAAAGTGGAAATTATTATTTATATCTTGAATCTTTTTACTTTTGTTAAATTATCTGCACTTTTTTCTCAAGTTTTTTGTCTTGAAATATTCTTGTTCATCCGGCGGCATGCAGCTTTAAAAGTGTAGTAAGATTTGATTAAAAAAGACTTTACTAGTAAATTATATTGAAAGAACTATAGGGATCGACTACAAGCATACAATAACATGGCTGTGCAAGGGCATGTTTTTAAAAGTTATCTAATTGCTCATAAGTTTTGTACATCTTCTATATGTACGTAAATGTATTTTCCGCATA